AGACCCGCCATAACTTGAAGAAAAAACCAAACCCAATCCAAACATGTCCCACCCAACTTCTAGTGTGATCACATGGATGATTTAGGATGAGAACAAAGGAACCACATTTATTTTATTGGAAGATCTTGAAATCCTCTCAATCAAACTTGCGCCCAAGATCCAGAAGAAAAATAAAAACATCAAATTGGATACAGCTATTTTTAACAAATGAGAAAATAACCCACCCCTAATCCATAAGACAATAAAAGCGTACAAATATTCAATAAATGAGAGTGCTTATAGTATGCAGGCAAGAACATAAAAAAAGCCCCAAGAATTCCATTCCACATTCATTTCGCCTTCGATTCAATCACCTTCTTGGCAAATGATGGCAAACAGAAAGCGGCAGAATGAATCTGGGAAAAAAAGAAAATGGAATGTGGATTACTGCTAGTTCAAGGCATCGTTTGGGAACAGCGGGCGTTTTCAGTTAGCCAGTGAGGGGAGGAGAGGAGAACAATATAGAGACAATTAGAGTGATACCTCGGAGTTGTAGAATTTGAGAGGCACTTTTGCCTCGGCGTCATTTAGATGATCTATTGGGTTGATTGGGTGCTTGAAATCACCCGTTGGGCCCTCGGTAGAACAAAGCATGAAACCCATAACCCCACTGCAATAAAAAAAACAGACAATGTTTAGGAAATTATGATGCATGGCATGATAGTGGTTTACTCTTTCACAGGCGCTAGGCCGTGGAGCAAGGTTTAGCAGAGGTTAGAATCTAAGGGTATGTTTGGCCTGGGATTATCTAGAAGGGAGGATGGGAGAATGACCACCACTCATTCGCAGAGAAAATATTTTTCACTTGAAAACCAAAACCGAAATTTCAGTTGATTTGGTTTCCGGTCACGGGTTTCACATTCGCTCGGTTAAGATGCTCACCCCTGAGCCTACTTGGTCACCCAGTAGTCCGAGATAATGAGTTTAATGGGAACAAAAGGTGCAAGTTAAAGGGTGAACATGATTTAACTAACTAAACATCTCCCACGTCAGTAAAAAAAAAGTACTTCGAAAATAGGAACAACAAGTTCATGTGTGTGCAAATATTTACCTTGGATACGTGGGAACGGTAGTCCATGCATAGTTGACAGAGCCTTTGAAAATTTGGCGGCAGTTTGTCACAATATCTTCAATTATGTGCATGTGAAGCCATATACTCTCAGCTTGTGTACATACAACTCCTCCTGGACGAAGAGCCCTTGCCACCAATTGAAAGAAAGGCTTTTCAAACAGCTCTTTTGCAGGGCCTGAGTTAAAGACTTGACCAGGTGAGTTAAATAATTCCATGAACAAATTTAATATGATGAGGAATATAAGGACACACACACACCTATGGGGTCAGAAGAATCCACTATAATGGCATCATAAGTTCCTTCAGCTGCGTTCTTCAAGAATTCAACTCCTGCAGATAAGCAAAAGGTTTAAGGTCAGACTTCAATTCTAAAGATCAATGAGTAAGCAACTCATCAGGATGTCAATGTTCATAAAGATGAAACAAAAAAAATACTCATTAATCATACCATCGCCAATATGGAGGTTTACGCGTGGATCCTCATATCCAACAGCTACATCAGGGAAAAATTGTTTGGAAACCTGTGGAACCAAAAAAAAGATATTATGACCCAATAGAAGCATTACAATCACATGTCTTTATTTACAAAAGTTCAGCTCACTTACATCGACTACCATCTTATCAATCTCACATATGTCTATCTGCTCAACAGAAGAATGGCGAGAAACTTCACGCAAGACACCACCATCTCCTCCTCCAATAACCAGTACCTGAAAAATCAATTTAAAACCTATAACACCTCACATTTGTTTAACTGAGGAGCATGGTGCTCCCTCATTAAAAACTATAATAAGCAACGGGCACTTTCACTCTCATGCCCCATACCAACTTTTAAAAACCAGCAGTATGAAGATCATAAAAAAATGACCATATGCAATCACATGGGTATATCACACCACAGATAAAATTCCTCTATTTATACACCCCACAGATGCTCAGTTATACACGATGGAATACAGACCTTCTTCGGGTTCTGAATTGAGCAAAGTGGGAGATGAGCGATCATTTCTTGATATGCACATTCATCTCTCTCTGTGAGTTGAATCACACCATCCAAAACAAGCACTTTACCATAAGTAGAAGACTGTACAAAGAGCCAAAAAAGTTAAGATACCATTGCATAAGAGTAAGAGGTTCCTCTTATAAAACACATACACCGTAATATGTACTTCCTCCATTCCAATATATTCTTCCCGTTTACTATTTGAAGCATCTCGATAACTTAAGTTTGTATGCATGTTTTCATTGATCATTTGATAAAACAAAACACTCTTGTCACGCCTTGTTTTGTACAACTTTTGATGTAGCTTTGAACGGTGTAATTTATACTTTTTAATTCTATACTAATTTGAAAATAAAACAATTTTTAAAAAGATGAAATCTTGCACGTTGTTCAAAATGGGAATTTGGGACGGAAGGAGTATATGCGTGGTGTGAGTTCTGAAAGTTGAAACCTGAAACACCAAGACATCCTGGAAATCTGACTTCCCCTTGAACAGTACACTTTCAACCTTTAATGAGTGCGCCTCTCCTGCACAATTTCCACCAAATATTACTACATCTCAAGAGTAGCAAGTGAAAAACAATCAATTATATCTTAAATCTTTGACACTACTCCCAACAAACATCAATTTGAAAGTTACTATGAGCAATTATCAAGTTCAACTGCTCCTATCTCTTTTTCATGAAGGTTGGGGGCTAAGAATTTCAGATCTACTCCCATCTGCTTGGAAAGTTAGAGATGAAACATGTTGTGTACCACAAAATTGTACTATTTCTATGTTATTTAAAATCTCAATCATGTCAAATGGCATTATCGCCATGGTTATGGACCCCATAAAACAGAGCATCATCATGGCAACAAACTTCCAGTGCCCACTAAACAAAACAAAACAAAAATCTTTCACTTGCAAATCACAATCATCAAGCATTAAAAAAAGAACAATCCACCATAATTCCTTTTTAAAGTTCAACAATCAAAGAGACAGCACAACAGATTAGCCCACCATATAAAGAGAGCAGAAATAAACGAAAGCATAGGTTTTTTTTCACTGCTGCAGTGATAAATTGGGGCAAAGCAGTTCGAGGACTGACCAGGCCACATAGGGCTAATCTCAGAGAACCAGCCGGGGATTACGGAGGAGAAACACGGCGGCTCCTCTGCGCCGCCGCCGCAGATGGTGGAGTTGTTGGAAGCCTCCATCACGACAGAGACAGAGCCTCCGTTCGGTTCGTCCTCTCTCTGCCTCTTCGCCGGAACCTCAACTCCGCTCGCCGCCGTCTCCCCACTCGCGGCCGTCATCTCCTGCGTGCGCGTTCGCGGGTATTTATATACTCAACTCCGCTGGGAGAGGCGAACCCTCAATCTCCGCGGAGATGGAGAAATTGTAGTATAAAGGGAAAGAATCTGATTAGGAAACGCACATTTGATGCTCTTCTTCTATCTGCTTTTTGCCTTTCGGTGGGAGAGCTAAAGATAGGGTACAGTACAGCGGACCTGTGATGCCTATGCTAGCCTGCTAGGGGTGGGGTGTACGCCCGTCCAGAACCGGACCGGAATCGGAAAAATCTGAAACCCGGAATGGACAGGTAACAGTACCTATTAGATTCTGGTCCGGACAGGGTAAAAACCGGAAAACCTGAAATTTATTTTTTCTAATTCTGTTTGTCAATTTTTTTGAACTTGTTTTTCAACATTGTAGCTTGATTTGAATTGATTTCAACCTTACATTTAATTTTCATATCCATAGGGTGTGTTTTAAGAAAGTATATTAATATAAAATATTTTTATCAACAATATAAAAGGTTTAAAATGACTTTTATACTTCCGTTAGTTTTGGGAAAATGTTGCATAATAGCCACACATTTTGCGGAGGGTTTACGGCAGGGTTGGGGTAGGAGTGCAGGGGTGGAGGGTTTAGGGGGTAGGAACCGTCAATTTTGCGAACGGAGTATCGGAGGTGCCCCAAAATGCCAGTGGCACCATAGTGGCACCGTACTCCGGTGTCACTAGAACCCCACTGCCCCTCATAACCCCCCTCCCTGTGAGTGTCATCCGTTGATCCTATAATCTAGTGTCAACCGAACATTTCCAATGACACCGTGATTAGGTATTAACAGATGACACTCACTCATTTAGAGCTCCTCTGGTGCTTTGTTCGTGAAATGATGGTTCTTACCTACTAACCCAATATGTGGCAAGGTTTTGTTGACACCTTTCAGTGTCAATGGATGCCACTTGATCATTTAGAGCTTCTCCGGTCTTCCGTTTGTAAAATTGATGGTTCTAATTCCCCCTACACCCCTCCATGCGAGTGTCATCCGTTGAGAGTGAAATCTAGTGTCAACAGAGCCTTTCCGATATGATTAATATATTACGGAGTATGTATACTCCCCCATCTCTAAATGATTTACGCACTTTACTATTCAAAGATTGTGGGAATTTTTTTTTATTTTTACTCCCTTCGTCTTAAAACTTTCTTTCCAGAGCACTATTCCAACTTCACGAGAATTTATATTTATTTGTGTTTTTTCATGGCCTATATGATAAAATAAAATATTTTTGTCACCACTTGTTTTGTTGAACTTTTGATGTAGTTTTTAAATATGTATATTTTATTTTTTTTATTTCTATATCAATATTTAAATAAAATATATTGAAAAAACTTGGGATTTTTCTTCGTTTTGCGCAACGGGAAGAAAGATATATGACGGAGGGAGTATGTTTTTATTGACTATTTGATAAAATAAAATATTCTTGTTACTTCTTGTTTTGTAGAACTTTTGATGTACTATTTAAATATGTATGTTTTATTCTTTATTTATGAGTATATTTAAAATGACATTAGTGCTACTGGTGTCATTTGATTTTCAGGCTCCTATCACCCCTAAACCCCCACGCTACCCAGCCCACCCTCTCCTCCTAATCTCTCGCCCGTCGCTGAAGTCCGAACAACTGTTCCGATTTCTGACTTCTCTCTTCGCACGAGTTCTTCCATCAACAGATCATCCGAATCTCATCTACTCATTCTCTGGGCTTAAAGATTCAATTGTTGAAGAAGCCCCCACTTCGCTCCACGATTTAATATGGTGCGGAGTAGTTCATAAGCTCTATTCTTTAATTTCACAGTTTTCCATTTCTTACATTTCAAGTGATACAGTATTGTTTAACTTTCCATTGCTGAACTTTGATCCTTCACTTCCTGTGTTGCCATTGTCTGTTATCAGTTTTTGATTAATCTCTAATTTCTAATTGTACTGCGCGTGATTTCACATTTGTAAGCCCTAATAGTTTAATCAAATCTATGTGTAGTTTAAATTTGCACCATAAAAAATTGATGCTATTAATCTTCATTTTATTACGGTTATCAAACATTAGCTTAGCTAATACTTTTTCAATTAAACATTGTTTTATTAATTTTTTTATTTGAAAAATGACTCATTATAGTATTTCTTCTGCCCTTGGGCCTATAAATTGTCTGAGATAGCCATAATCAAGACCAGTGCATGCTTTCTAATAGATGCTGCCTAGATGTTCTTATCCATAGTTTCTCGTGTCTGCAGTTCTTTTTCTAAAGGAATAATAGATTGTAGGGATTAAAATGGTTGTGATTCTCAAAAGCTTCAGTATGTAGAGATGTATATTTGAGTAATTCAAAAAAATTCAGTTTCCTTGCAGAGTTGCAGAATGAAGCAAGAGTTAATTTATTTGTTCACTAATTGATGTGATCAATTTGATTCTCTAAATATCCAGTGCAATTAGGCTGTGAGGCAAACTGTTATCATACAATTTATACTCAAATCCTCAGTTTGCTTAATCCCAATTATCTTTAGAATTTACTACGGAGTATTTGAAACCAGCAAATCTTTGTTGAAGGAATCATGTTCAAGAAACCAGTAAATTTGGGAATATGACAAACTTTCCACATCCATCTTTACATAGACATCAAGACATGCAATCCCTCACCCAAAGAACTTCAGCACTCCAAATATTAATGAACGCTTAATATTAGGATTGTAAGGCTTGATATAGTACTAGGTGGTAATGTTTTTTTGTAATTATTTCTATTTTTCTTGGGGGGGGGGATTTTTGGAGGCCGGGATGGTGGGATAGAAACGAGTCTTAACAGTAGAAGTGTATAACATTTGATTCCTGAGTTTTCAAGGAAAACATTTGATTGCCATGCATTATATTTTAAGAACTTTTTTTCCCATTCCCGTGAACAATAACTATTTCTCTTCATATTTTGTGTGTGTGCAGATTTTTTAAATTTGTACTGCCTCTACACCTTTTAATTTGGACTGCAAGCTCAGTTTTTCTAATCTTTGTTTACAGGCAACTCTTGCTGATTCTTTTTTAGCAGATTTGGATGAGTTATCCGACAATGAAGCTGATATTCTTGTGAGTCTAGTGCCTTATATATTTAATTTCATGTTTCAACTGCAATTATTTTCTTTATTTCTTCTTTCATGATTCTATCTGTGATGATAAAAGTTGCGACGATAAACGTTGTTAAGAGATCCATTTTCAGTTTTGAAAAGAGTGTGATGATTGTTGAATAATTGAAGTTTTATTCATATTTCAAGACTTTACCACTATGTTTGGTTCAGGTATTTAAGTGGGAAAAGAAAATGCTAAGAAAAAGAAAACGAAGTCAAAGAAACTCTCTATTTGTAGCATTTTTATTCTCATGTGAGAGATGAAAAAAAGTTGTGGGTCCCATACCAATTTTTGAAATTTTGCATGTTAATTATTTGGTGCATAATGATGTTAGGTTTTACGTATTTTCTATTTCTGATTTTCTCTTATTTTCTCTCTACTAAAGGATGTGGGAAATGAAGAAGCTGAGCACATGGAGGAAGATGTGGATGGTGAGCTAGCCGATATAGAAACTCTTAATTATGATGATCTGGATAGTGTCTCGAAATTGCATAGGACCCAACGCTATATCAGCATTATGCAGGTTAGAAGATGTCTGCAAACATCAAATTTCATCATCTTTCCCCACAAAATTATTTTCAATGTCGGTCAGCTCTATGTTTTTATTTTTTTTAAAATGTGGGTGTATGATTCCCCTTTTCTTATGCATTAGAACTCCCAAGAGCTTGTGCCTAGGGAAATGACTTTTTTTCCATACCTGTTCCATTTCAATACGTTTAACTTTTCTGTCAAATATTTCTATCTTAATTTTGATATTGCTGTTTATGTTTGCAGAAAGTAGAAGCAGCACTGGAAAAGGGTTCGGAAAACTCAGATAAAGGGATGGTTCTAGAAGATGATCCAGAGTATCAGTTGATTGTTGATTGCAATTCATTGTCAGTTGATATTGAGAATGAGATTATAATAATCCATAATTTCATACGTGACAAGTACCGATTGAAATTTCCAGAGTTGGAGTCTCTTGTTCACCACCCAATTGACTATGCCCGGGTGGTCAAGAAAATTGGTAACGAGATGGACCTCACGCTTGTTGATCTGGAAGGACTTTTACCTTCTGCTATTATTATGGTGGTTTCAGTTACAGCATCAACTACAAATGGCAAGCCACTCCCTGAGGATGTCTTGCAAAAGACAATCGAAGCATGTGATCGTGCATTTGCTCTTGATTTAGCGAAGAAGGAAGTCCTTGATTTCGTTGAGAGTCGAATGGGATATATAGCACCGAACCTTTCCGCTATTGTAGGAAGTGCTGTTGCTGCAAAATTAATGGGGATTGCCGGTGGTCTTTTCTCATTGGCAAAGATGCCTGCTTGCAATGTTCAGCTTCTTGGTGCTAAAAAGAAAAACCTTGCTGGGTTCTCCACAGCAACATCTCAATATCGCATTGGATATCTTGAGCAGACAGAAGTATTTCAGACTACTCCTCCTTCTCTTAAGATGCGTGCCTGTCGACTGTTGGCTGCAAAATCTACCCTTGCCGCGCGTGTAGACTCAACTCATGGAGACCCAACAGGGAAAACTGGACGATCTCTCTTAGAAGCAATCCGTAAGAAGATAGAGAAATGGCAAGAGCCACCTCCTGCCAAACAGCCGAAACCCCTTCCCGTTCCAGATTCTGAGCCTAAAAAAAAGCGGGGTGGGCGCAGACTGAGAAAGATGAAAGAAAGGTACTGATGAGATGATTTCTTCCAACTTATAGGGTTGATCATTTAAATGGCCTCTATTGTTTTTTTTGCACAATCTAATAATAGCGATTACTTAACATGGTCTGTTTATAAACTTTCATCAGGTATGCTGTTACAGACATGCGGAAGCTGGCAAACAGAATGCAGTTTGGTGTACCGGAAGAGAGCTCATTGGGTAAGTTACAATATCTCTTCCCTTCTTCACCTGTATTATTTCCCTGCTTCTCTCTTCCATTTTTCCAACATGTGCCCTCTCTGGGAGATTGTTACGACCATGGCTGGGGAGCAAAGATGGTGAAGAGGGAAAGCCATGTAGATAGATAACTACTCGCCCTTTGGTGCTTGTTCTTGCCAAAGACACATGAATTGACTCCAAAATTATTGATGTTCCTCTTGATAAATATAACACCTTTATTTATACTAGTCCTAAGAGTTATAATCTGTTAAAATATTGTTATTAGGAATATTATGATTGAATAAAATACTAAATTAAACAGAAGACTATGCTACTACTAATGATTTTAATATTAATAATAACAGGACTAATTACAAATAATAATTATAATAGTAATAACAATAATAATAAACTAATAATAGGAAACTGCTACCTATATCAGTATTTTCAAAACATTGCCCCCGTCGTCGCACTATTTTTCTGAGACATGAGGTATTGGCACACAAATTAAGAAAAATGAAATTGTGTGGTTGGTATTTTAGTTATAAAGTGAGAAGTAAGAATGAATGCGAGGCCCAAAATGTACTAAATATGGTATGAGTAAAAAATAGTGGGACAAACATAAAAAGTAAAAATGGTCAAAAATAGTGTGACAGTGGGAGTAATAATTATACTAATAACAAATATTATTCCTAACCCTAATAGGGATAGCCTAGACATGCCCAGTGGGTCAAATGTGGCATCAACAATGAAATTTGACTCTAGCATATACGGAGTTTTTTTTGAGGGATACACTAACACCATTATCACTTGCACCATTTTTTAAAATAGCACTCATAACTTTCTCTTTGATTGCTTTCAAGCAAAACTCACCTAAAGTGAAAGTGGTATAATTGTATCCCCTCTTTTTGTATTTAAATGAACCTTTCAATTAAAGATGTTCATAACCATAAACCATTTTGTGTTACTAGAGATTTTGAATGTTGCCTTGCTACCATTCACTTGCTCACAATTGATTGTCTTTATGGAATATAGGGGATGGTTTGGGCGAGGGATATGGAATGCTTGGTCAGGCTGGAAGTGGAAAATTACGTGTATCACTTGGTCGAAGCAAGCTTCAAGCTAAAGTAACTAAGAAGTATGTTAGTTCATGTTCTTGTTTATATGTTTGTGTATGCATGCATGTATCATGTGTGTTTGAGTGATTCTAACTTAACAAGTGAACTTTAAATTTGATATGTGCAGATTTAAGGATAGGAATTATGGAAGCAGCGGTGCTACATCAGGATTGACTTCAAGTTTAAGCTTTACTCCCGTACAGGTTTGATACTATTCTGTTATTGACATTTATTTAGCATTTTGATGCGTTCCCTTTATTTAAAAGGCGTAAGATTGTGTANTCTTTAATTCAGTCTTTAAGTACTTTCCTTAGAAGAACTGTATTATATTTTTATCTCTGTTTCCTTTTATAATTGGGATTTGGGAATCCTGCAATAACTATGTAAGGGTATTTAGTTGGGAATAATATAGCAGTTTTGGAAGAATTAACTCTTGAGTCTCAGACAAGACTGGGTGCCACTTCTTTCTCTGTCAAGGTTGAGAGGCCTTAGTTAATTCTGCCATCACCGTAGCTCCTTGCGGTCATCACTTGTCTCTTCCCTCGTCTCATCTTAAAGCATGACCCAGAGCCAACAGGACTTGGAAGACCAATTATTGGAACTATACACCTCGGACTTAGCCGTGGACAAAAAGGCTTGGAAGAAATAGTTTGCAGAAGTCAAGACCACTGTGTCCTCATTGTCCACCACGGTGTCCACCCTTTTTGGCACTATGCAGAAAATATTTTTAGGATGTGGCAGTCAACGACACTGGATCTGGCCACCATCAGCTAATGTTCCAGTGAGTTTAGCTCTTAGCGTTGAATGCGAAGTCTAGGCCCCTTCTCCATCCACAACACCAACCATGTGTTTTATTCCCATTACTCGGATCACGATGTTGGGATGCCAGCAGATCACTTGGATCACCACCATTCCCCCCTCCAGCTTCAAAGAATTTTAACCTGATGTTTAGAGCATCACCGCTTGCGCAAGTTTCAGCATCTGCTTCCTTTTTTTTTTAAAGTTTCTTAATAACGTCTGTCTTTAATTACTTTTACTCCTATCACTTGTTATGAGTTACTGCAGCAGTCTGATTGTCTTAAAGTAAATATGGACCATGTAATTCATGATAGTTGCCCTTTTATTAACGGGTTGTTTTCTTCTTTTTCTTCAGGGGATCGAGCTGTCAAACCCACAGGCATTTGCGAACCAACTTGGCTCAGGAACCCAAAGCACTTACTTTTCAGAAACTGGGACATTTTCCAAGATCAAGAGAGCATAAGTTCCCTACAAAAGTGGCACTTCTCTTAAACTGAAATACGGCCGATCCCTTCAGTGTTGACTCAACACATTGTTTCTTCACGGGTTCACATTCTCTCTGCCTCTCATTATGATGCCATGTTTTAGTTGTTAGTATATGAAAACATGGAAATTTTAGTAAGAACAATATCAACTTGTACTGTTTTATCCTTTGTCTATACTAGAGATATAGTAGTTGCAGTGGTTGTGGTTTTTCCTCATCTTTAGCTCTTAATGCAATTGAATGTGGCAAAGGATTGGTTTTGCTACTTTCTGCCCTTTTTTGACACAAAGATGGTACTTTTATTAATGTCTCCAAACACAAGTTAGGCCATGTTCTCTTTAATCTATTTTTATTATTTATTACTTTTTCTTATGGAAATTAGACAAAATCATATTAGATCAAAAACAATTTTGAATACTCCATATAACTACATCCAGATTAGAATCATTTAGATCAGGTGAAGAGAACACCTTAGTGACATCAATATCAATACAAGCCTTAGATCAAGCTGAGTGGAAGAATAAAAAGTATTAGTGTCCAAGATAAGCCTATTATGTCTCTTTATGTAATGGGAGTATCTGTTTGAAGAAGCATCTTCTTCAACCAAGAGAGTATGTTTTGATCTTCATGGACAGTTTTCATCTTCAAGAACAATAATGAGTGCATGGCAATCAGTGTAAAGATGAATGTGGCTAAACATCATTCAAAAAATTTGCCTATAATATATTTCTTGTCTATATAATTTTGTTTTTTCAAAATTCATTCATATTATGGGTGATGTAGCAAGATCCAACTCAATAATTAGATTGCTTAAGACATTTGTGTGGGGATAATATATGAGATTGCAAGGTAAATAACACACAAAGTCAATAAGATTTTAATTTTAAATATGTCAAAAAAATAATGCAACCAAAAATTTGATTTTATGGTTGTAAGGCTATGAAAGCTTTTATACTCTAACATATACTTTTTCTGTCCCATATTAGTATTTGTCTTTTATTTCATTTTAGATTGTTCCACAATATTTTTTACTATTTCATTCTAGGCCGTTTTACAATATTTGTCTATTTTTTATAAATGGCAAGAAAAATTAATTGAAGTTTTCGTGTTACCCTCTTCAATTAAAACCATTCCAATGATGCCCAAAGTATTAAAAAGTGTACTTGATGTGATGATACTGAATTAAATAATGATTTTGAATAGTGTACTTTACCTTTTAGTCAATGAAAATTTAGATAATCATTATAAATGTCCAATCAAGACCACATTATAAGGGTAGTTTAGTCCTTCACTCCCTTTCCCCTTCTTTATGGTTTATGAACCAAATAGAAAGTGGACATAAAGTATGGGACGGAGGAGGTATGTATGAAGTGACCATGCTTACTGGAACTTGTTCTCTTCGTGTGTTTTGATTTAATTTTATTAAAGTCTAATCTAATTTGATTTGGTCTGATTTCAGTAAAAAATTTATTTTTTTAATTTTATCCAAACATTTAAACAAATTAAAATAATTTTGTTTATTAAATATCGTACATCAAAATGAGACAAATACAATGAGGTAGAGGAGTGTAATTGTATCATGAATTCATGGGGTTACTTTAGTTTTTTGAGGAAATACCTAAATAAGTCTGAAATAGTTTCTATATATTAAAATGGATCTTTTAATATTTTTATTTCAAAATAAAACCTAAAATGACAAAGAGTGTTCAAATATAATGTCAATAAATATTGTAAAATGTAAATATACAATGTCAAATTGTGTTATTGTACTTTGTCTTTACTCTTAATTAGTTAGGAGATAAACTATTAGAGATATTATTCTGATATAGTTATAACATCTCAGTCTTATTTAGGTAGTTTTTTTCCACCACTTTGTTTTACTAATAGTAATTTGGTCATTCTTTCATTCTCTGCCGACATTATATTTTACCCAACACTTTAAAAAATAATTCATTCAGAACCTAATTAACTTCGTTGAAAATAAAATACACTTTAACTTTATAAAGACACAAAATATTAGGGTAAATCTCATTTGGACTGATGACCAAGAAAAGCAAAGCAGGAGAATTATGGAGTATAAGAGCATTGGTAATGACATGTAAAGAAATAGAATGCCACACATCGACACAACACATTTCAACAAATAGAAAAATGATCCAGTCAGTGTATGGTAACTGAGTTGAGTGGCATGTTATATACGAACAAGATATTTTCTTTTATGTTTCATCGATTGTCGGTCATTATTATTTGGGAGCTTTGGATTCACTTTACAACGTGTAAACATAGGGTTAATTTCCCAACTTTTCACGCATCATATTTCGGGTGGCAAAGGAAGTCACGAAAAACATTTATCGCCAGTGGTCTGGTGGAGGACTTCTACCTCCATGATGGCATGCGACGCCGTGAAGGTGAACCTTGCAGAGGCAGTGCATGGTGGAGCATTTGCGGCATTTGTCCGGGATTCGTCAAGTAAATCTCTCTATGTCATTTCTTCTCTTTCTTTTCAGTGGGACCCAATGGCGCGTGGGGGGACAAATATGGTTATTCAGTGTCTTCATTGGTGCATATCACAGTCCTTCTTAGGTGCGAAGTGAAGCCACACCACTATGACCTTGGTGTTATTTTTTGCGAGGGTACCCCGTGGTACCTGCATGATGTGTGTTCTAGGCCCTGTTTTTTTTGTTCTATAGCAACAATCACGTGGGTTGAGTGTGATTTATGGGCGATTGCTCTTGCATGCGAGTAAGCTGCCTAGGCTGTAGCGGGGATAGAGGGAACATAAGAAATTTTGGCTTTGCAGGATCTTGATGTTCAATACGATTCCTCCTTTCTATGGAGGATTTACTCTCTTTCCATATTGATGAATATGGGGGTGTTTCCTATATGTACTGATTTGGGTGCCTTAATGACTGCGTCTATGGTTGAGAGGCGCACATATGCACCCGCGGTTAAAGTGTGCCCGTTTGCTCATGTGGTTTTTAGGGTGCATTGGTGCTTGCACATGTGGATATTCACATCCAAGTACCTGCGGTAGAGGATACCTGTCTCCCCCTACAATTTTGGGGTATGTTTGCACCAGCGTATATGGTTTATGGTTTTTATTTGTTGTCGGCGGTATCTTGACTAAGAGCTGGCCACTGGCCAAAAGTGGTACCTCTTTTCTCTGGGTTGGGCTAAACGGGAGGTCGTTATGGTTTGCCATAGAAACTAATGACACTGCCTTCCCCTCTTCTTTCTTTGATCACACTTTATTTTGCTGCTTCTTGGATGGGGTTTATTCTCGGCTTTATCATGGATGATGGATCACATTTTCAATTGTGAAGTTTGGTTCATTGTTGGGACGCTCTTATCACGCATGGATTTTGGTTTGTGCTTGGTTCTTTGCTATTGAGATGCTATTGGCCTTGGGCGTGGCTAGCTCGTTTGGGCTGAGTTCAAGGATTCAGTTGGTTTTTATTTTGCTTGGGCTTGTTCATACATCTATTTTTTACATTCTTTATTTCATTAGGAGCATTTCTTTTATTATGAGCTATACTTGAACCGATTTTAGTTCTTTGTCCATTGATTTGTCCACTTTAGCCATTACTAACCTGAAATACATGACCCTAGGCCTTATTCCTGCGGGAGTGAGGATCCGGGAGTGATTCATTTTGGGTTTGATCTGAAATGCATTACCTTAGGCCTTACCTTTGCGGGGGTTGAGGCTCCAAAAATGATTCATTTTGGATAAAATGTAAATTATTAATATCCAAGAGTCAATACAATGTACATCCACGAAGTAAACATACAAAGCATCGGGGCATACCCCTATAAATCAAAAGAAAGAATGGCACACACGCCAAAGGCACGCACACCCAATCAACAAAACATGAGTAAACAAGCACAAGGAAATAAATGTGTATCACATGGATACATAATCACCATCACCAGGGCCCGTCCTCGTTATTCTGCATCAGCGTCACCAATGGGTCATCAAAAGGAAGGAAAATTCTCGTCAAAACTCCGAAAGTGAGACCCCACTGGAGGGCTTTATGAATCATCAAGACATCAAACCAAAATGGGTCATTTGCATCATTGTTGCCACTACAACGACAAGTCCTCGACATGTGCAGGCTCATCAAGTTCAGCCTCAAGGAATATATGCCGTGACCCAAGTCCACAAGTTCAGCATCGGCCAGATTGCCAGAGTAAACTCAGCCATACCTAAATAGAGATGGCAATGGCAGTTGGCCCGTGTAAACTCCGGTAGACCAGGCCTGAAGTCATAAAGCACGAGAGAAGCACCCAGTCTGACATCCTAAATCACACAAGGGGTTATGGGTTCCCAAGAAGTCTCAGCTTTCACACACTGGGGGGTCTAACGTACCCTTCCCTTGACGGTGTTGAACACTGGAGCCTCGGGCTCGGAATGGCTTTCCAACAAAGATGTTCGGAATGCAGCGAGAAATGCAGATGGTAAGCCCACCCAAAGGTGTTCAACGACTCCAAACTGGGGGGAAGAAAAAGCACGGTTAGTTCAAGGCTAAAAAAGGAGTCCTCAATCACACACCCACGGAGATGGCCTCAAGCCACTACCCAATGGCGTTCAAGGCCTAAAACCATCCCCAAGACCGGTTTAGATCCCAAAACCAAAGTAGCACAGGTTGGTGAAGACAGTCTATCTCAGCCCCAAACCAACCACACAACGGTCTTGTTCTGCCCAAAATCCTTCTCTATCAAACCCAAGCGTACAATGTCAAGGAACCAATTCAACCAAAAAGCTCAAGCTTGTAGTTGTGGCCCAGGAATAATTATTTATATTCTAACACGTCCCCTTACGTGCAGGCGTAGTCTTTTTCGAGCCTTGCATGTGCATGAAACCTTAATTTTTTTAAACTGGGTGGCGCTGAGTTTCGAACGCGTGACCTCTTAGTCAACGAGGCTCTGATACCATGTCAAGGAACCAGTGGTTGTGGCCCAAGAATAGTATTTATATTCTAACATACAACCAAGGAACAACGGGTAAAAGCAACATAGACAGTGGTAGACCAAACCACGTCAAAAAAGCCACCAATGGAGTATGCAATTAGAAAATGGCAGCAATGGATAACATGAAGTGCCAACAGCAGCTTTGGGTGGCTGTCCAACGAAGTAGTCTAGCCAAACCTAGTGATGCCACTGCCCAGCCCTGGAGATTAGAAAATCAGGGCCTAAACACCACTAACCAGCTGATTCAAGCCACAGACAAGCCATTCCAAGTGGCTGGTTGAAACCCATTCCTCTTAACAATACCATAACAGCTCCATGAACAAAACCAGAGAACCTGGGCAGTCCAAACGAGAGTAGTGCAGGCACAACAATAAAGAACAAGTTTACAAGGCACAATAATGATGCACATTCATTCATTTTGGAACTCTATGGGTGATAGTGGATGGTCGTGCACTTGGGCTGCTACATGTGTTTTAGTATACGTTCTAATACACCAAGAGAGGGAGGGAAGGGAGTTTGGACGTAAGGAAGAAGAGAGAGAGAGATAGGCTAGACGGCAGAAGCAAGAGGGAGAAAAGAGAGGAGAAGATTAGGGTTTAATTTTCCTTCATAATTCATATGATATGGGAACCTCTCTTTATATAGATTAGAGAGACCCCCAAAATCCTAATTAAACTACGTTGTCTAACCTGACGGTTCAAGAAAAGCGACGAGGTAAAGAACCGTAAAGAAACCCTCGAAGGAGTGTTATATCTCCACTCGCCTAGAAAAATCTAACAAATACATTAATAATATGAAACAAAGTATTAAATTAAATAAAGTCTTTAAAACGGGCCGGTGGTTTAACCGTCCGCCCCGAACGTCTAAGATTGCTCCCCATTGTAATGTTATCGGACCGGTCCGCTTCTGCATGCCCCGAGGCTTCCTTTGTAACCGATGCCGTATCAATTACCTGCCCTTCAAAAACGTCCTTGTCCTCAAGGACGAGGTCCGGGTAAGCGCTTCGTATGGAGGAGACAGGTTCCCAAGTTGCACTGGCCGCATCCCCATCTGACCAGACAACTAACCATTGCTCGATAGGTGTACCTCGTTGAAGAGTTGTTCGTGCCGCAATGGCCCGTGTAGGGACTGACAGTGGGGCACCATTATGGCATTCTTTCGGCAAAGTCGCCGGTGGAGGGAGGTTTGCACCGGGTACGAAAGGACGGAGTAAAGAAACATGAAAGACATTGTGGATGCGAGAATCCGGTGGCAATTCCAATTTATAGGCCACACTGCCTATCCGCTCAAGGACGGTGAACGGCCCATAATATCGGCGGGCGAGCTTTGCGGACTGTGGCCGGGCAACAGAGTGTTGCCGATGAGGTTGAAGCTTGAGGAGAACCTGGTCGCCGACTTGAAATTCGATGTGACGACGGTGGCTGTTGGCCTGGGCGACCATTCGCTGCTGCATGGCAGCTAGGTTCCGCTTTAATTCCGAGAGGATGGCCTCCCGTTCAGTGAGTAACTCGTCCACGCGCTGCACCTTGCTGCTGCCAGTTGCATACGGGATCAAAGAAGGTGGTTCTCGGCCATATAATGCCTGGAATGGCGACATGCGAATACCCTCATGGTACGTAGTATTGCGGGAAAGTTCGGCCCATGCTAGAAACAACACCCAGCGAGACGGCCGAGAGTGGCAAAAGGCCCTTAAATACTGCTCCAAACCCTGATTCATCACCTCCGTTTGGCCATCCGTTTGGGGATGATAGGCCGTACTCCTCCGCAACGTCGTCCCGCTTAAGGAAAAAAGTTCTCGCCAGAATATACTCATGAAAATGGGGTCGCGGTCCGAAATTATGGTAGATGGAAACCCATGATGCTTGATGATTGTTTCAACGAAGAGGGCGGCGACCTTCTGGGCATCAAAGGACGTAGGCAACGGAGCAAAGTGAGCGTATTTGATAAGGCGATCAACTACGACCATTATAGCTGTAAAACCCCGCGACGGTGGTAAGCCAACGATAAAATCCATAGAAACATCGTCCCAAACGCGTGAAGGAATTGGCAGTGGTTGCAACAGACCCCCTGACCTGTGGGTATCATATTTAGTGGACTGGCAGGTAAGACATGCACTCACAAAGGAGTGTACATCGCGCCGCATTCGGGGCCAATAAAAAACGGCAACCACACGTCGAAAGGTGCGCTCCACACCAGGGTGGCCTGCGCTAGGTGAGGAATGAAATTTGTCCAGTACCCGATGTTTGAGTGGGGAGGAGGCGCCCAAGCAAATGCGATGATTATAGTAGAGTACGCCGGCGTGGATACTGTATGGCATGGGTAGAGACCCATCGGCAGCGGCTCTGTGCATGGCAATCAAATCTGGCAGCGTGCTATTTTCCCTCTGGATGTCATGGAGAAGGTCTGGCAGGGGCTGAGCATACATCTGAAACAATGCCCCGGCCGTCCCGTCGGCTTCCTCTCGACGCGAAAGTGCATCAGCGACGCGATTGGTTGCCCCCGATTTGTATTCGATGCGGAATTTGAAACCCATTAACTTCCGAAGATAGTATTGTTGGTCAGGTGTTTGAACGACCTGAAAAAGCAATTCCTTCAAGCTCCGCTGATCCGTCCGTATTATGAATTCTCGACCAAGTAAATACTGCCGCCACTTATGCACGGACTCCACAATCGCATATAGCTCGCGATGGTAAGCAGACGCGAGGCGGCGACGGGGACCCAATCGTTTGCTAAAAAATGCAAGGGGGTGGCCTTGTTGCATAAGAACTCCGCCAATACCCTCGTCCGAGGCATTGGTCTCCACAACGAATGTATCATTAAAATCCGGTAGACGCAATATTGGGGGAGTTGTCATGACGGATTTCAACCGTTCAAAGGCCTCGGTTGCCGCCGAACTCCACTAGAAGGCATTCTTCTTTAACAAGGTCGTGAGCGGGGCAGCGATCATTGCATAGGAACGAATGAAGCGTCGGTAATAACCCTTGAGCCCTAGGAACCCCCATAGCTGCCGAGGAGTTTTTGGTGTGGGCCATGCGGTCATTGCCTCCAGTTTACTAGGGTCGGCTCGAAGTTCCCCTGCGGAGACGAGATGGCCTAAATATGCCACAGTTTGGCGGCCAAAAGAACACTTTGACAGCTTGACGAAGAAGTGATGCCGTGCTAAAGTACCGAGTGTGGAGTCCAGATGGCTCACATGATCCTCCAATGTGGCACTATAAACCAAAATATCATCAAAAAATACAATCACGAATTTGCGTAGAAACGAAGCAAAAATGTGATTCATGGCCGCCTGGAACGTTGATGGGGCATTGGTTAAGCCGAACGACATCACAAGAAATTCAAAATGACCATCGTGAGTGCGAAAAGCTGTTTTGAAGACATCGGCCGTATGCATGCGAATTTGGTGATAGCCGGAACGTAGATCCAATTTTGTAAAGAAGCGTGCTTGCCCCAACTCATCAAATAACTCATCGGCCGTAGGGATGGGAAACTTATCCGCCACCGTTACCGCATTCAAGGCGCGGTAATCCACGCAGAAACTAAAGGAGCCATCCCTCTTTTTCACCAAGAGAACCGGAGAGGAAAACGGGCTTCGACTATGCTGAATAATACCCTGACTCAACATTTCTTGAACTTGTTTCTCAATTTCGGCCTTTTGGAAGTATGGGTAGCGATACGGACGGACATTAATAGGTTTTGTTCTGGGGAGTAGGTGAATCTAGTGGTCCCAAGGGCGTGCCGGAGGGGGGCTCGTGGGCAAGGCAAACACGGCCTTGTGTTGTTCCAAAACGGCCCGTAGTGTAGGTGGCAGATCCCCAGGCAAAGTAAAATCTCCAGATGTGATAGCCGAGGCAATGGAGTCCAACAAAGAGAGTTCATACCCATCTTGAACTGCGTGTGAGTCGAATAGGGCATGTAAGCCATGAAAAGAAACATGCCGACCGTTGGGAGTATCCCCCCGAAGAGTCACCGGACGACCGTTAAAAACAAATTCCATAGTCAAGGCAGCGTAGTCATGGGCGATTTTACCCAAAATTTGAAGCCATTGTACGCCAAGCACGACATCGGGGCCATGAATATCAAGCACAAACAAATCAACAACAAGCGAGAGACCTTGCAATGTCAACGGAATGGCCGCACAATGGTGGGTGCATGGGGGGAGGCACCGTTACCGACATACACTCGGAAGGGAGGAGTGGGGCGCATAGATAACTGTAACTTCTCCACAATCGCCGGCCGGATAAAATTATGGGTACTACCCCCGTCGATCAGAATATGCACCAAATGGCCATGCACTGTCCCCTGTAGTTTCAAAGCGCGTGGGCTTGGGCACCCGATTAAACTATTAACACTGGAAATATCCCCTGTAATCAATGAAAATTCTTCATCCATGGCGAACTCGGGTGCTGGCGACGGTTCGGCCTCCTCCGCACCGATGAGGGCCATGAACCGGTTGGGGCACTTGTGGCCTGGGACATATTTTTCATCACACGTCCAACACAATCCCTTGGCCGTACGCTCATCCCGCTCAGCATTATTGAATCTCCAGATTGGCAATGCTGTAGAAGAACCGGCGGAACGTACTCCTGTAGACCCACTGGCAGAGAGTCCCGCAGGACTACCCTGGGGTCTGGCAGGTTGGTTGGCGCTGGTGGGCACCGTCGGTGATTGCCATGGTCGACGTACGGATGTTGTAATGGCGGAAATCGTGTCGGAGTAATTCGCGGCGAGCTCCCTGGCGAGTGCAAAAGCCTGGCCCAGGGTATAAGGTCGTCGAAGAAGAACCTCGCGGCGAATCGGTGCTTTTAACCCGGCAGTAAAAATTGAGATCAACGTGACCTCCGGAACCCCCGTAATCTTATTCAACAGTCGCTCAAACTCCGTCTGATAATCCAGAATCGAAGCACGTTGTTGTAATTTGCATAAGAGGCCCATGTAATCCTCATAATGTGTCGGATCAAAACGTTGTTTCACGGCCTCAAGAAAGCCCCTCCAAGATGTAATAAGGTTATTATTATGCTGGTAAAGAAACCAATCGGAAGCCGGATTCTCGAAGAGTAACCCGACCAGTCGTAACCGGAGGTCCTCGGGAGTCCGAAAGTAATCAAAGTAGGACTGCACTTTGTAAACCCAACTGGCTGGATCCTGGCCATTAAATTTGGGTGCCTCAAAGCGAACTTTCGGCATACCTGGTTCGTGATTATCGTCGTGTCCGGGAAAGCCAGGCGGAACAAGGGGAGGTCGACGACCTCCAGTTGGCGTGTTCCCCAAGATGCCACGGTTGTGGGGGGTCGCAGGCTGTCGTGCGTCCAGGAGGGTGGCAAAGCCTTGATCAACACGCTGTGCTAAGGCGAGATGTTCTTGCCGATTCGTGCGCATCTCCAACGCCAAATTTTGAATGGCAGTGAGCAAATCATCCGAAGAGGGTGATATGTTGTGTATGACGGACGACGAAGGGATCTCTTCCGACATAGTGAGTTCAAAAGACAAGAGCACCAATAATACACCAAGAGAGGGAGGGAAGGGAGTTTGGACGTAAGGAAGAAGAGAGAGAGATAGGCTAGACGGTAGAAGCAAGAGGGAGAAAAGAGAGGAGAAGATTAGGGTTTAATTTTCCTTCATAATTCATATGATATGGGAACCTCTCTTTATATAGATTAGAGAGACCCCCAAAATCCTAATTAAACTACGTTGTCTAACCTGACGGTTCAAGAAAAACGACGAGGTAAAGAACCGTAAAGAAACCCTCGAAGGAGTGTTATATTTCCACTCGCCTAGAAAAATCTAACAAATACATTAATAATATGAAACAAAGTATTAAATTAAATAAAGTCTTTAAAACAGGCCGGTGGTTTAACCGTCCGCCCCGAACGTCTAAGATTGCTCCCCATTGTAATGTTATCGGACCGGTCCGCTTCTGCATGCCCCGAGGCTTCCTCTGTAACCGATGCATTATCACGTTCTTTATCTTTAGCTTAGCTCCTCATACTCCCTTCGTTCCTAAATAAACTTCTTTTAGTGACTTTTTGGAAATTAAGGGAGGGATATTTTGGCATTGACTTTCCAAAAATAGCCTTGATGTGATGGATAAAAGTAAGATGTGATGGGTAGATTATTAATAAAAAGGTATGATGTGATAAGTAGGGTATGAAAAAGTAAAGGGTAAAAGTGGTTTTTAAGGGAAAAAGAGAAGTTTTGTTGGGGACAAAGAAAAAAAGAAAGGGAAAGTTTATTTGGGGACGTAGGGAGTATTATATTTTTGGTGGTATTTCATTCATTTTACTTATTACGAGTGTGGAGTATGTTCCCACTCGCTTGAGCTGTATTCCTTCCTTTCTTAAATAAAGTGATCATTTTTAATTAAAAAATCTTTTTTCTTCCACAAAAAAAAATTAAAATAAAAAAAAAGTTAAAGAGAAAGGTGCCTCGCGCCTCCCATACTTGGCATGAAGAAACAACGGCACCACGCGAGGAAGGTGGAAGTTTTGTCTGAAGTGGAAGGAGCGTGGAGGACTTTGGAGCGCGCTGCACATGCTCTTAGCTAAAAAAGTACCCACCGGATCTGAGAGGTTCTACGTAGAGGTGGCAATCGGGTCAATCGGATCGATTTCGGATTGGATTTTTTCGATTCAGATATATATATTACAATCGCTTCGGTTCGGATCAGTTAAAATTTGGTTTGGATTTGACTTGGTTCTATACATTTTTCGGTCTCGTTTCAGTTTTGATTCAGTTCAGATATAATTTGGATATAAATCGGTTTTGATACAACTTGGATCAGAGATATTTCAGTTTCGAGTCTAGTTCGATTCAGATATATTTCGGTTTCAGATATGTTTCAGTTCGGTTATTCACATGTTTTTACTGTTAATTCAATTTATTTTATTTTAGCTGGTTCTAATAAGACATTAGAGGAAATTTTAATATAATTGTAGAATTATTCTTTTATATTTAAGTGCCCACGAAGGAGACTGTCACAATTGATACATTTACGGGGTTCCGTTTATAAAATCAATAATTTTTATTCGCCTTACGCTCTTAATAATCCTCGCTTTGTGCAAAAAAATGAGCATTAACAATTATTAAACATATACTCCCTCCGTCCAAGATTAAAGTTCTCACTTTGACTTGGCACGAAGTTTAATAAAATGTGAAATTTGCTTTGACTTTCCTAAATTACCCTCATCCCTCATCTCTTTCCTTCTTTTCTTGTCCACACATTTTTTCTGTCAGCAAACACAGCCCCTTCCAACTACATTTGCCTTCTCCTCACCTTCTCCGCCAATCTCACCGGCGGTCGCCACCTACAGTCGTCTTCTCCGCCAATCTCACCGGCGGTCGCATCTCCGGCCACTGCTCACTGCTCGCCGTCACCTTTGCCCGTCCTTCACTTAAAAAAAAGACGGAAGAAATTTGGGGCTCCTTCCCTCCGATCCAACAACCCATCGTCAATCGGTGCCTATACACCGCCGCCACCGTCGATTTCTTTGTCGATGCCGATCTGAATCAAAATTCTCAGATCTGACGGAGATAGACAAGAAAGAAGAAGGGTTGAAGATGGATTGGGCGTTGGACCATGGGAATTGAAGAAGAAGAAGAAGAAGAAGAAGAAGAAGAAGAGGAAAGGAGAAAGAAAGAAGAAAAAGAAGGAATGAAGAAAGAAGAAGATGACAAGGGAAGAGGGAAGAGAAAGAGAAAGTGATGGCTGGACGGATGGGAAAGGAAAAAGAAAAAAAGGGGAGTGGGTGGGAAGGGTAATTTAGACTTTTTGTTATAAAAAACTTTCCAAAAGTAGAAATGGGAAGATTATTTTTGGACGAACGAAAAAGGAACGTGAGAATTTTATTTATGGACGGGGGTACATAACATCAGTTTAACAATACGTCAATATATGAATATATATATTCCAAATACAAATCGAGAATTGAAATAAACGCACCAATCGATCGATGTATGAATACGCCATGCACCCTCATCATCATCATCATTTCATGATCATGATCATGATGGTGATGATGATGATGGAGAGCACTCCGGGGGCAAGACTTTGTACCGAGTTGTATCATGGCAATAAGAATAGAACATGTGCTTTCCTCTCGCCCAATCCAATCCTCCCTTTTGTTCCTCACTCAGCTTCCCAAATCCCTCTCCTTCCATGCATGACGATGATGATGGTGGTGGGGCGGCGCAGGCTTCCAGTTCTGCCCTTCCCATGGACGCCACGAAGGGGGCATACTGGTAATTGACAGGGTACTTCCCACCGTGGGTGGCCCACTGGGACCCATCCCAGATTGTCAAGTACACCGACATTGGCTTGGCCGGGTATACATTATAATTAATTGCTGCATCATGCCTTTTGTTAATCACCTCCCTCACCGGTATATTGTCCACTAGGAACCTACACATATAATTATATCGTACTCCGAATCACACTCCAACAATAAATATGAATATCATTCTAACATGTATAGACTCATGAAACCTATCCCATTAGCTTAAGTTTTTATTAGAATAGTGGATCGCGACTCTATATGCAAGTGGTTATTTTACCACCAGTGTAGCAGTTCTAAGTCTTTTAAAGCTAAAATATGAGTATATTATGAGTTTGATGAAAGAGTACTCTTGACGGTAGGATGGAAAAATGATGACAGTGTAATATGGTAATGTAATTGATCATCAGTCAACCGTCGGTGGACCAACAGTGAACGTCGGCAATCGGCAGCGACAAATGATAATGTGTGACAGTGTGATCAGTGTTGCAGTGTCTTTCTATTTTAATCTTGAAAAGCTTATGACTCATAGTTTGATATAAAGTATGAATAATATAAAAAATAACATCAGAATTATAAAATTTTAAAACCAATCATGCTAGAGTTACACTAAGAAGTGTATGCCAAATTGTATCTCTAAGGAATGCACCGACATTTTAACAGTTCACACTGATAAAAAATGCAAGTTCAATCCAAAAAAATTGTACAGATATTTTGTATCATTCTAAATCATCACACTAGTATTACACTAGCATAAAATGTTAGCGCATGTCTTCGGGTACAAAGTGGATTACAATTTTGGAGTATAATAAAAATTTTAATATAAAGCCGGCAAGGTTTTGTTGATACTGGATTCTAGTGTGTATGGATGACACTAGATTCCAGGGTCAATAGATGACACTCATTCATTTGAAGCGGTGCTCTGAATGAAAAATTGATGGTTCCTAAATCCCCCGTCGCACCCCACCCAAGCCCGCCCCCTACGCCCCCACCATGTGGCTATAATGCATTAAATAACAGCTACACATTTGGAGAGGGTAAAGGGGGGGGGGTCTAGGGCAGGGGCGCAAGGGTCGGGCTCAGGGTGGTGCGGTGGGAAGTTTAAAGAGAGAGTTTTAGGGGGTAGCAACCATCCATTTTACGAATGGAACATTGCAACAGTTTCAAATGAGCAAGTGTCATCCAATGTCAATAGAACTTTGCGGTTATAAAATAGGAAAAATTCTTGCCATTATACTAAAACCATTCATGCTAGGGGTACACTAAGGAGTGCACCAACATTTTAACAGTTCACACTGGCAAAAAATGCGAGTTCAATAAAATAATTTGCTTTAATATTTTATGTCATTATAAACCATCACTCTAGCATTACACTAGCATAAAATATTGGTGCATGCCTTCGGGATACAAAATGGGATACAATTTTTTGGAGTATAAAAAAATTTTCGTATTAAATCTGAAAGGTTTCGTTGACACTGGAATACTGGATTCCTGTGTCAACGAATGACATCGTTCATTTAGAGCTCTAAATGAAAAATCGACGATTCTTACCCCACTAACGTTACCCACTCTCTAAACCCCCTACCGCACCCCACCCCAGCCCGCCCCTGCTCCCCCACTCAACCACATATTTGGAGGGGGTAAAAGGAGGATCTAGGGTGAGGTGCAGGGGGGTCGGGATTTGGGTGGTGGTGCGTTGGGGGTTTAAGGAAGGAGTTAGGGGGTAGGAACGAACGATCCATTTTACGAATGGAGCATTGAAGCATCTTCAAATGAGCGGGACACTAGAATTTAGTAAAAACAGAACTTTGCCGTTATAAAATAGGAAAAAGTTTTATGGAGGTATAATAAAAGGAGTAGACACTACGTACGTACAAGATGTGATGGGCATTCCAGAGGAGGGAATAGTGATGGAAAGAGTCGGTGGGGTCAAACCAAAGGTAGAATTTTTCTTCGCGGCCTCCGCCGCCGCCGGCGGCGGTGTGAGCGCCGCTGCCATTGACATAAAGATTGGTTTGCAAAACCCAATCTCTCCTCTTGTCGTACCCAAGCAGTTCTATGTCTATTTCGTCATGGTTGTGTGGGTACATCCCTTCATTCGACATCTGATTTCAATTTCAATTTCAATTTAATTTTATTTTATTACATTTTACATACCCCTACACTAAATATTCAAACAAAACAAAAAAAACAAATCAAACTATATGAAATACTCTCTACATCCCGTAAAAATTTCAATTTTCTCATCTTACTCGTCTCATAGAATATTTTAATTTTTCCAAAATGGACTAAAATACTCTTCTTTAATCCTACTTTCCCACATCGGTCTCACCCGTTGTCTCATCTCATCTTACTTTTTGTTTTTTAATTACTCCTTTTTAAAATTATTATTATTCATTAATGTGAAACATTATTTTTTAAAAAAAGAACCCTAAGGGCATTTGTGGAAGATCAAACACCAAAGTGCACCTTTATCAAATCACCCAAAAGTCAAAATTGAAAAACTTTTTTACGGGACGGGAAGAGTATTTAATTAGAACACATTATATATAGGAAAGGAAGTACAAAATATGGGTAGTTTTTTAAAGTGAAGATGACTCACATAAAAGGCCACAACAACTCCAGATGTGAATCCTGCTGGGAGCTTTATAGCAGCATTGAAGAATCCATAGTAATACCTCTCTTTTGAGGCCAACCCACATCCTATTGCATGTAATTAGAAAAATTATTTGACCAATGGTATCATAATAATCATCAAAGAAGTTTGGTAGTGCAATTTAGTGCAAAATGCATACTTCGTTGAGTTTGTTATGATAAAAGTATCGTCTTAACAGGGGTTCCAAGGGGATAACGCCCCCTGGGTGTGTTAAAAATTCATTCGAATTTTAAATTTCTGATTTTTCCACAAAGAATTTTTTCGGGAAAATGTGTGCGTTTCTCTAATGTTTCACGCGACTAGACGCGATTTTAGAAAAAGACGCAAATGCACTTTAATCCTTCTTATAAGAATCCGTAATAGCTCTTGGTCGAAGGCAGAGTTTGAAAATCTATAATCAATTCATAATTGTTCTTGTCAAAAACTTGAGTTTTATCAAATTGATTTTTGGATTTATTGAACACCCAAAATAATCAATCTGAAAATGTTACACAACTCTCGGATTAGTCTGCGTTATCTTTGATTTCCCCAAGATACATGTGTTAGTATATCATGTGCTCCTCTCATTCCAAATTTGTTGTCTTTTTTCGAACAACGTATAGAATGTCGTCTCTTTTGAAATGATGTTAGATACAAATTTTTATGGAATTAAAAAAATAAAATTCACATATTTAAAAAAATTATCAAAAATATATATTAGAGTACAAAAAATGATGTGAAATTAATATACCTGAAGACTTGTCCAAGATGAGATCAACGGTGGAGCCATTGTTTTTCATCTGAACATTTTGAGCGCCGTACAAGACATTGTAACTGTGGTTAATATGAGAGGCAGGGGTAAAACGGTCAGTTAGTCTCTGAACATTGGGAGGGGCATAGATTGGCCCTCTTGCAGAAACAACATTATTCATTTTAGCCACCATTTGCATGGGAGGAAGAAGAAGAAGAAGGATGATGATGAGAGGGGCATTCTTGACATTTGCCATTCTGTGGTTTAGTTTGGTTTGCTTTGGTAGAGTTTTTTTTTGGAATAGTGCAGAGGATGTGGAGGGTTGATCTTGGTATTTATTATGTTGGGATGCTTGGATACTCCTTAATAATTAATACTTTTTCTGTCCTTAAAACTCTTTTTCTTTTTTTTCTTGTCCCACAAAATTTTTCATTTTCTATTAAAAAATCACTTTTACCCTTACTAATTATCATCCTATATATCACATCATACATTTTTACTAATAATCTATTTATCAGATCCAACTTTTATCCATTACATCAAGGATATTTTTGAAAAATCAACACAAAAATATTCCCCCCTTAATTTCTCAAAAATTCAATAAGAGAAGAATTTTAATGAACGGATGGAATAATTATTTGATCCAACTCTTTTCAAAAAAGACTTTCTTAATTGAAACGGTTAAATTCCTTTGACATTATTTCATTCATATGATCAAATTTTAATCTGTTCCTTTGAAATAGCTCTTATCCTCTAATCTTCCTCTTAAATCCTCACTCCTAGCCCTCCCTAGGCAACCCTTTCCTTTTTAAACACAGCTTCAATAAAAACACAAATGATTAAATTATTGCTCAATATGATATTCTTCAAATTTTGGATATAAATAAAACTATGACTTTCATTTTAACTACTCAAATGATTGTTTGAGAACAAATTAATCTCACTCCACATTACATTTTTAATAAATCTCGAAGTGTTACTCTTTTCGCCCCCTATTAATCAAAGATACTACTTCTTCCGTTCTACAAAACTCTTCCTCTTTCGATTTTTTTGCTTTCCACAAAACACTTCCACTTTCCATTAAAAAACCACTTTTACCCATACTTTTTCATACCCTACCTATCACATCATACTTTTTTCACTAATAACCAAACTATCACATTTTACTTTTTCCCATCACATTAAGGGCAAAATTGGAAAATCAACCAAAATTTCACTTTCCTTATTTTTTCCCAAAGTCAAAACCGGAAGGGTTTTGTGGAACAGAGGGAGTATGACATTTTTTGATAGATCCACCACTTTCTCTAAACTAATTTTTTTGTCACTATATGAGCAAAAAAGGTTTGAAAGAGAATCCACAATAATCTTTAATTTGCATAGTTGTAACAAGCTGGCCCTGCCCACAATCTTTGAAATATATTGCTACTTGACTAGATGTGGACATACCAACATACCCACACATTATTATAAACTGATTATTAAAAAAATAGTAGTGGTAAATTTTTTTAAATAAGCTACTCCCTCTTATACTAAATATCTTTCTTGTTTTGACATTTTTTGTGAAATAGTCACCTTTTGATCATAAATTATGAGAAAAATATGTTTAATTATAATATAAATTTAATATAATTTGATCCATCTTAGAATATAATTTTGATATATCGGAGTATTAAATTTTTATATCATTTATTTATTTAGGACGCAGAGTATTTTTTGATAAAGGTACACTTAAATAAGATATCCTTGTAGTACCTTTTATGTATGGGGGTTTATCAAATTATATTAACACAATGTCGTCTTAAATCACAGAACCATACCAGTCGGTGTTATATTGTATAATGAATTGTTTCTTTAACGCATGTCTAATTTATCTTTAACAAAAATTGTGAAATAAATAGATTTAGTAGTTCATACGATCCCTCCGTTTCAATAAATCATTCCTCTTTTGACTTTTAGCCAAAACAAAGTATGTATATTTATTGTTGACTTTCTAATTTTGCTTTTGATGTGATGTGTAAAAGTATAATTTGATAATTAGATTATTAGTGAAAAAGTATGATGTGATAGGTATAATATGAAAAAATAGAGGTAAAAATAATTTTTTTAATAGGGAGTGGAAGTGTTTTATAATCATGTCATTCACCTTCTCCATCTCTAGGCCTTGATTCATATACTCCCTCCGTCCCGAAAATTATTTTTGGATTTAACTTTCGAAAAATGCTAGGAGTACACCAAAGGTGTACCCCATATGTCCCCCACCCCCTCCTTGTCCACTAAAAAAGGCAAAAAAATTTTAAAAAAAATAAGTAAATAAAAATCAAATAAAAATGTATGGCAGAAAAGGGATTGATGTACATTTGGGGTACACCAAAGGTGTACCCCTAGTATTGCTCTTAACTTTTTGGTGGTTTAGGTGAAGTGTTTTTTGAATGTTTGACTTTCCACATTTATTCTTAGGGTTTTTTTTAAAAAAAAAGAAGAGATGTTTCAAATCATGAATAGTAATTAATAATGTGAAAGAGTAATTAAAAAGTAAAAATCAATATGAGATGTGATGGATGTGATGTGGCAAAGTAGGGTTACATAGGGGTATTGTAGTCCATTCTGAAAAAATTGAAATGTTTTATAGAACGAGTAAGATAAGAAAGTTAAAATATTTTGTGGGACGGGAGAATATTACAGTTTGATATTAATGTTTAGTTGTATACTTTGCACTCAATTCCTAACCAATCACGCCATCCTCGTGGATACAATATTCCTACTTCTACCACTACACTGACTCTTTAATTACTTTTACCACCTCCATTTCCATTTCATTCTCATCGCCTTTGATTGGGATATTTCGTTTTCAAAGAAGGTAATGAAAAACTCTTGTATCAACCACTAGCCGGGGCAGCTTGCGAAAAGTCTATGTCATTAATAGGAATGTTTGGATTCGAATTATCCCACTGCATGATTACAGGTTGTTAGTCATTTTATAAAATAATACTTCCTCCGCCCACAAATAAACTTCTCGTTCACTATTCACAGGGTCAAACTTTATTGGCCTATTTTCTTCACCCATTTGATAAAATAATATAGTCATGTCACCTCTAGGTTTGTAGATCTTTTGATCTAGTTTTTTAATAGTAATTTTTATTTTTAAATTTTACACCATTTTTCATATAAATTGATTTGAAAATAACTTTAGTCAAACATCGTAACGCGCAACAGGAAGTTTATTTATGGACGGAGGGAGTATAATAATGTCGACATTAACTTTGTAAATCTTTTGATTTAGTTTTTAAATATCTAATTTTTATTTTTTAATTCTACATCATTTTTTATGCTGGGGTATAAAATGATTGAAAATAATTTCAATCAAACATTATAAACCGAAAAGTGAATTCAAATAGGGATGGAGGGAGTAAAAAAATCATGCTCGTTCCAAATTCGTGTTTGTGTTGTTCCAATCTCCCAATATTTCCTTTTTTTTGTCCTGTCACTTTTCTCTTTAAGACTTGCCTTATTTAATTCTTTATTTCCATTTCAGGAGAAAATGTGTTACTCATATTATCTCCCTTTCTTTTTTGACATCTCTTTGGGGTAATCGTACTTATCAATGGAAACAAACCTTCATCATCATACTATAGAACCATTTTTTTGTGTAAATAAAATGTAAAATCACACAACTCTATTAAACGTACCTTATTTGGCGATTTCCCATCTGCTTCGAAAGCTATTAAACTTTCATAAGAGGAGTTTTTTTTTTTTTGCACTTTCACATTTCCATGCACTCCTAGGTTGCACTCGGACGGGTGCAGGACCATATACGGGGACCGGGGCAGAAAACAACAAATTAAAAAATTACAGGATGCACGAAAGAGTACGGAGAAAAAAATAATAATGTACTCCCACCATCCCATAAACTCCTTTCGATTTGACTTTTTTTTAGTCAGACAGCGACACTCTTTATCCAAAAAATATGAAAAAAAGTATATTTGATTATGATGTAAATTCAATATAATTGAGTTCATGTTAGAATATAGTTTTGATATATCAAATTCTTTTAACATTTATTAGCTTAAATTATATTTAATTTATGATAAAAAAATGTCACTGTTAGACTTTTAAAAAAGTCAACAAGGAGTTTATGGTACTAAATATAGAATTCTATGTGTAAAAACAACAATGAAATAGCAAATTGGTGAATCAATGCAATCCTAGATGCACTCAATGCACATAGAACAACAACACAATGGTCAATATATACATATGAAAATCAAAGGCACATACCAGTATTATGATGCCACCCCAGCATTCATATGAAGAAACTATATTCTCATTCAGCCACTTTATATCATTTTTGGGAGAAGAATCAAATTTGCCACCTCCAAGTTGATGGACTAGTTAGGTAGGTAAATCACATTTGCCCCTATTATTTTTATCTCACCTTCCTTCTAAAATTGTCCTCAAACTTTCTTTCCATACCCACACACACAAAAAAACTTTCTTTTCATGATAGATTTGTATAATAACCACAGCCCCAGAAAAATCCCACAAGAAGAGTTTAGGGAGGGGGTGAATGTGGTAAGCAGACCTTACTCCCGCTAGGTAGTAGAGAGGGCGTTTTCAAAGAGACCCTGACTAAAAAGAGTACGGGCAAACAAACTACAAAAAAGTAACAAAGTACTAACAAAAAGACCACAGAGGATAAACACATAAGGAGACTCAGCCAACTAAATCCAAAGCACACAAGTACAAGTTGCAGACTAAAGTAAAAAGGCACATTGGTCAAAAGTATGAATTATGACTACTCTTCTACTCAACCTACCCTAATCCCAGATCTCCATGCATTCATATCTAAAGGCATATCCTTGGTGAGATCATGGAGTTTAAGTCTTGCCTAATCATCTCCACCCAACTCTTCCTAAGTCTTCCTCTAACCCGACACACCCTTGTTACCGTAAGCCTCTTGCACCTCTTGACATGGGCCCAAACCACCTAAACCTAGCTTCCCACAATTTCTTCTTAACAGGAACCGCTCCCGCTCTTCCCCGAGTAGCTTTGCTCTGAGTTTTATCCAAGACAGGTGTATGTACTCGAAATCAACGTAAGGACAAAATGAGTTTAAATTGTGAAGGGGTGTGAAAGGGGGTTAGGTGGGAGAGGGTAGGAACTACTTCAGGGTTGAACAAAAAATTGGATGGTCTCCAAATGGACCAATGTCATGTAATGCCACCCGTGGCGAGTGTCAAAAGAATCAGCCCGATTAAGGTATAGAGTGTAAATAAATATTTACCTTCATTTTCTTCATAACCAGCTTAACAACAGTTATAAGTGTATACGACATTACCGTAGTAAACCTGCATCAAACTACTTAACCCCACTTGGCTCATTTTATCTAAATTATCACAGCCTTAGATCTCAAGAAACTCCACACACACACAAAAAAGAGTGAAGAACTTGATATCCAAACTCATACTCTTGAAGATAGTGATTCAAAATTAGCAGTCTAGCACTTTGTTCTGATTTCAGAAGTGATAGTTTATAATTCAAAAATTCATTCATTGTTTCAAAAAAATGAATGTTTAAGTATTCATGCCTTGAGAATTTACCCGACATATCACTCCCATATAAGATCCAGAGAATAATACTCAAAACCTAGGCAATAAGATTAGGAAGTCACATCTCTTATACAGTGATTACTACAGAATACTGGATCTAATAGAAGTCTCACAGACCATCCCACATACGCTTTTTGGGTTAACTTGATGACAAAGGAAACGGGTATATTGAACTGTTAGAAAAAATAGAGCATGCATTTAAAAATGAACAAGTATTAGCGTTTGTGTGCGTTTTTTTCTTTCAAAATTCAGGTCTCTAATGATTGATAATTTTGAAGAACAGGCATAATGGGAGGTAGATGGATGGAAAAAGAATAATAGCAGTGCAATTGCATGCCTCCATGACATATATAAAAGAAAGAAAGGAAATTAAAATTAGGACTTAGACCTCGAAGCCAAACCAGTTTCAACTCTCTTGATTTCGTAGATGAGCATCCTCCACATCTTCAAAACAAACATTTCAGCTTCTTCATCCAATATTTGCAGTCTCTCCAGCATCTCAGTTGCCTTCACGTGCTCTTGAAGGCTGGAGACGATGTAGTCTACCAGTTCGGGTTCCTCCTCCGCCAGGAATTCGGTAATCTTCCTGTTGATCCATGGTCTCATCTTTATATGGAGTGCATTCTGTGATGTGAAACACAGATGGTTAATAATTCTTTGATAAGACACAACATAAGAAGCTAAAATTATGAAATGCAATATGATCTGAAAAGACTAAAAAAATGCATGCTTCCTAGTTTTTATTTTGTTTAAGACGAAGAAGGCAACTTTGAAATTTCACACATGAAAGGCTACACTCATACGGAGGAGTTGTGTATCTCACCTTGTCATAGATTGCCCAATTTATCTCATATGAAAACAACTCATTTTTAGTCTTCGGGATCATGTCAATCAATTCCTTGGCATCTAAAAGCTTCTGATTATCTGGATTCCGCACTTTATCAGATCTATGATCAGCATTTTCTCGTCGGCTTTCTTCATCATGCCTTTCATGTTCCCCCCGATGGCTATGTTTTTCATGTGACCTTCTGCTTCTATCCTTTTCTGCATCCGGCCTCCCCTCTTTAACATTAGAAATACGCTTTGCTACTTCTGCTGCTGAGTTCAAAGGTGCGTCAGAAAGGGAAGGATGCTGCGCTTGTTCTTCAGTTGAGTAATCAATTGGCACAAGTGGCCTCATTTTCTTGTCTTTTCGTGCATCTTCATCCTCATCCTCATTAAATACTGAAGGAACAGCAGCTCTTTTTCCCGATCCTTGTAGGCCGAATCCCAACTTTTTAGCAGGTGCAGTGCCACTTTGCTGCACCATATCTGATGCGGGAGCACCTGATTCATCACCAGTGACATTGTGTGCAAATGCATCGCCTGTCATTTACATCCAAAATCAAATAAGAAATAAATAAAAAAAAATTTCAACACTTCTACGAATTTCACCAGAGAATAAGAAAAGGAGAAACTACCATTAGTCACATTTGGATCCGAAGAGACCACATCACTCATATCCTCATGATTGCTTTTCACAGGTGAAACGGCCGTTTCATGTCCATTAACTACATGACCAGTTAGAATTCTTGAAGCCTCCTCTTGCTCTTTCTTTAGCTGTTGTTCTTCATCCCTACGTTTAGCCTCAGCAATCTCTTCTTCTTCTCTAAGCCTGTCTGCCAAGTCATCTTCTTTTTCTCTCTGTCTCCTTTCTCTATCCTCATCACTACTTCTGTGTCTCCTCCTTTTGTAACCATCCTCACCATCATGCTCTTGTTCCATTACTTCCAACTTGCGTTCATATGCCCTATCCTGCTCCCTTTCCCGCTCTCTTTTTCTCCAATGCTCTTTCTCCCTTTCTCTAGACTCCCATTGCTTTTCCCGTGTCTTGAACTTACGCTCATCATCCCAAATTTTGTACTCTCTTTCTTTTTCTCTCTTAGCCCGCTCCTGCTCACGCATTCTCTCATACCTTTCAAGTTCTCTTTCCTTTTCCCTCTTCGTAGTATCCTGGTCCCGGTCTCTATCCCTATCATGTCTTCTGCGATCAGGGGAGTTTGTTTCATCTTTATCATGCTCACTTGAGGGCTTACTCTCACTTGTTAGATCATCTTCATTTTTCCCTTCTGATGCATTTGCGATTAAAAAGGAAAAAGAAACTCCAAGTCATGCAAACCAAATGGATACGGTTTGAAATAATAAATTTATTAGAAGTATCAAAAAAAACACAAAGTGGTACTTCACATAAGACTTGGCGAACAGGAATTAAAACAAAAACTACCCTGCCCAAAAACTTACCACTTTTTACACCACCTGCATCTGATTCCGCATCTCTTGATTTAGAGTGGTTTTCCACATTAGAGTTACCACTAGCATCTGTGGATAATACCTGAGGCGGTGGAGGTGGTGGTGGCAATGGTTTATTCTTAATCCTTTCACTTATCATATCTGTGAGCTTTTCCAAGGCCTCCTGGTCAGCTTGCCTATCTTCATCAGTGACGAGCCCAAAGCTGTTTGTATCAGGGTTTTCTTTATTTTCCCTCTCTTTATCCTGCTTAGGATCTTGTGAAGCAGGTTCAACGTCTTCAGAGCCACTCTTTGCAGCTTCATTCGTTTTAGCATCTGATGCATTTTCTTCCATGTTGTCAGCCCCTCCAGCATCATCAGCTTTGGGTTTAGTTGAGCTTTCCATTTTCTTTTGAACATAATGTTCAAGATATCCTCTAGTTGCTTGATTGACATTTAGCTGAATGTATACCAATTTAACCAAAATTAGAAAAAACGCTCAGTCCAGGAAACTAGAATGTCAAGGAGGCTAAGGAATTGAGAAAAACAACTTCCTCCACCCAAGTATTTTTGTTCCTTTTTCACTGCCAAAAAGTTAGCCACAAACCATGTTTGGTATGATTTATGTGGGTCAAATAAATTCATACTTTACAAATTCAATGTCAACGACACATTTCAAATTTCCCTAAATTTGTTTCACTCTCAAATGTCCCCAAATTAGCAGGATGGAGAGAGTACATAATAAGTCTAACGCAATGCACTAGTTTCACCAAGGCTTTTCTAGAACATTGATTCTCTTCAGATTACTAAATTTGGTGACTAAGAAGAGAATTCATAATTTGGAGCATCTAAATAGATGCATGTTTTTCTTTCTATCTAACCTGAACCATCTATATTTAATAGTTCTTCACAGTTTTTTCAGATTGTTCCCTTTGAAAAAGTATACACGACAAAATAAGCTAGGCCATATAAGCTAAGCACTAGATAGAAAAGCATTCAAAAGATTTAGATATAGATATATTGAAAAATGAAGATGGATCATAACAACTGATCAACATGGGCCCCTGGTATGCATACGTGCATGTTCAACGAGGTGATATGATGTCTTACCATCAACTCTTGCCCATCAAGTTTTAATTTGCTAAGCAGCCGCAATGCACGAAGAACTCCTTCTGCTGACTCAAATTCGCAAAAACCAAAACCTTTTAACAATCCATTTGTTGGGTCTTGAGCACGTTTCCAACTCTTCACAGGCCCACAGAGCTTTATAATTGACAGGGTATTAGTCCAATTAACATGTATAATGGTGTGAGACATTCAAGTTAACTCCAGTGAAAATGGAGAACTGGAGAGCATATATGTATTAGAAGAAATAAATGCCAAAGTGGTATGCATATGAATATTAGAGCCATACCTGCAATAGAGAAAGCATGAAATCATTTTCTACAGCTGAAGAAATCTTTCCAACATAGACTGTTGTTTGAGGTTTATCTGTTTGGGCAATTATTGGCGAGGGGACTGGCCTAATGGCAGGAGGTACAACAGGGCCCCGGACAACAGGAACCGGAGGGCGCATCAAGGGAGGAATAACACCTACACCAACTGGTGGCCGAGGAGGATATACTGGCCTATAGAGAGAGGGATACCGAAGCATTCCTGCAAAAACCAACAAACAATTCTATGCAAATTTATCAGTGCATGCTCGTATTTATCATAGTTTGGGCAAGCTAATTAATGGGCATTATAATTTTTCACAAATAAACAAATAATTTTACCAAACATTACAAGCAATAAGAGATGGCACCCATAGGCATGACAACACTCATCAGCTGAACAACAAATAACCTGAACAAACATCAAGACAATAATGTCGAACTTATAAAACATGAATGTGTTAGCTGGACTTACCTGATGCTTATACTTGATAGTAGTGTTTCAAAACTATCCAAAATCCCATGCATGCACAGTGAGTGTTCGATAATAGTAAGATGAGACGCTGACTTCCAGTGTCTCACTCTCACTTCCACTGATGCAGTGAATATTTATTTTGATATGGAATATATCACAGGGATTATCAACTTTGTGTACAGTGTAACGGAAGAAATACTTTTATGTATGCAAAAAATTGAAAGAATTGTGATACCTTGGGGGTATGAATAAAAAGGCAATGAGCAGTCAGTTGTTAACAAGGTCCTCTGTCGGCATATCAAGAATCAATATCCCACCAAAGGGGAAGAAACGTTACAACTAAAATTAAGCCTACTAATTAACAATGCACAATAACGTTACAAATAGTGGGAAATTATATTTGTAAAAAGTGGGTAGTGAGTTGTTATTCTTTAGTTCCTATGAAGCTTCATGCAACTTAAAAGGAAGCTAAGCAGTTGTTTGCATACCAAAAATTTAGAAGTTGGGTAGTCTCTAAAGAACTGCAATATGAAGAAGCCACCTGACTCCTATCACCCAACCAATCCACAAACACTGTAGGAGAAAACATCCTGTCATTGAGGCCCCCAATCAAAGTACCCAACCAACACATGTCTTACGCGTGATTCCTCATCAACCATACTATTTTGTTTGTACACGCCATAACACATATTCTCTTGAAGCACACAAGGTCATTATAAGGCAAAGATTGTGTTCTAGTAGTCTGAAGTAAGAAGATTGTGATCTTTGACCCATGTTGATAAAAGAATCATATTTTTTTCTTCCCATTAATAAGTATCACATGCACATACCTTTAAATCACCCAACAAATGAAAGATGAATCTAAAGCAGAACGCATCAGTAAGAAGATTGAAACCCACCTGGAGGAGTCGTGCCAGGTTGTGGCACGGCTAGATAACCATTCGGCAATGGAGCATATGGTCTCACCGGTTGCCCTGGAAGACCATAAGGAGACTGAACATATCCCATCGGAACTACTCCGGCGCCGGAAGCCGGAGCAACTGAAGGAGGTGCCATCATCACCGGTGACACAGAGCTGACTCCGGGGGGTGGAACCCCAGGCGCCTGAAAGGTCTGAGCTTGCTGCAAGCCAGGGTTAGGGATGGGGGAGAATTGAGGAGTGGTCCCAGGTACGGGAGCGGGCTGCGTCGCAGGTCTGAAAGACGGGGCGGGGAAAGGCTGAATCGATGGCGGAGGGATCAGAGATGGCGGCGGGGGAGTGCTAGGGTTAGCGCTTGGCGGCTGAATGGACGGCGCAGATGTGAACGGCTGCGGGACAGGCGTAGGTCCGGAAGAGGGGACGGGCGGGTCAATTGATTTGCTTTCTGGTTGGGGATTCGAATCTGTGGGTTCCTGAGGAGCAACTGAATCCGCCATTGTCAGAGCTCGACTCCGAGTTTTTCAGCAGTTGATTTACGCAGTGCGTCAATTTGGCGAGAGACGATTTAGGGAGCTTTTAAGGATGGGGTAATTTTGGTACACCATGGACCACTCCGACAAAGACAAGTACTCGTGCGTTCAAACTTGATGGTGCTATTCATTACTTTTCTAGAAAAAATACTCTAAATTACCCTCGATTTTCGATTTTGTAACAAGAATTCGTATGTTTTATATTATCTTTGATTTTTTGGTAAGAACTCATAGTTTCACATTATTTAAAATATACTATAGAAATCCTTAAAATTTGTGATAATGTATTTCAAGAGTATATTCCGTCCATTTAGCCGTTATTAAATTTTAATAAGATCCTTCACTTTATAGTCATTATTATATTAGGGGAGTGATTTGTCAAAATAATTGAACTTTCAATCCTGACGGTCAAATGGACAGAATGTATCTTTGAGTACATTACCACAAATTTTAATGACCCTTAGAGTATATATATTTCAGATAATGTAAGACCTAAGAGTTCTTACTAGAAAATTGAGAGTACTTCAAAATATATTTTATATAATGTGGGACCTAAGAGTTCTTACGAGAAAATCGAGGGTTCCTTGGAATAATTTTCTATTAGTTTTTATGTACTTTATTTTATGTATACAATATGGGTAGACACGGGTCGAGATTATTCGGTTTTCATATTATTCTGCATCATGGCCCATCATATATATTCAGATGGTTCAGAATGATTTCGTCTACAAGTCTATCCCACTTTATCTCGTAATCTTTTAAACTGGGACAAAATGAAACGCATTCAAATTGTCCTAATTGTCCTTGTTTGAAGTTATAAATAAAATATACAATAGGATCTGAAGGAAATTGATTTTTAGACTTACAAAAAAGTTATGAAAATTGAAAACAACATGCAGTATTATCGTAATAAAGTAACTGTATTAATAAAATATGCTTTAAAATGGAGTGATTTTTTTATTGATAGACAAATTTTGCACAGACAATCTATTCCATGAAATTAACTAAATTTAATATATATATGTGTGTGTGTGTGTGTGTGTGTGTGTGTGTATATATATATAAGACAACAAGTTCCTAACATGTCTTCGTACATATTTTATTAGTACATCCTTGTATTTTTTTTCTAACAAAGAATAATACTTTTTAAAGAACTCATTCATTAAAGGTTTAAATTGATTTTAGAAAATACACAGATCAGATGTGTAATACAGCTATTCTAGAGAATGTACGAGTAATTTTTATGTGTGCTTTTTTCAAATAAACATTTTACAAAAGGGAATAGAAACTTTTATATTAACTTTCATAAAGTATACAATGTAGAACATGAAGTATTTTATACATATGAAAATAATCAGAGATGATTTAACCATTTCCAAATAATAATAACCTATACATATGAAAGGAGATGTTATATCATAAACTACCATGGATAATTTGAATTATATACTAAGCTAAAGGCCAAGGCTACACTTTGCTAACAATACATCTAAAACAATGGCGGCCTTGAATTAAAGTCTCAAAAATATTTACTTAATTTTGTTTAGAAGGCCCTCCTATGTGTAAAAAAAGGGTCGGAGTTGATGGAGTTTACTGTAGCTATACATGACAAAACCCTTTGAAAGCAAGTGCTGATTTTTGAAAGAGAAATTTACCTAAATAGGACTAAAACATAATGATTTTTTAATATAAGATCATATATTTTTATTTTCCAATGTAGGACTTTTGGTCATTATCAATTAGTCATTATTCAAGTAAATCTCCATCATTACTGGACATTATTCCTCCCACTAGACATTATTAGGTTCTATTTAGGGAATAAAAAAGTTTAAGTCCTACATCAGGAAATGACTTATATTTTAATCCTATTTAGTGCAAGTTTCACTTTTTGAAAACTTATTTATTTGAGAGTTTATTAATTTTATAAATGGGTACAACCATGTAAGCTGATGACCTGTATTTTAATTGTGGATTTCGTAGAAAATAAACATTCAAGAGGTTGTTGTAATTAAGAGATTGCTTTGAATACTTGAAAGTGACTTTTTTTTTGAATATACCAACCCAAATAATAAAATCCACACTATCAAATACTCAACTTTAGGGCCAATGAACTAGTTTTACAAAGAAACAAATGGTTTAAACCCATTTTCAAAAGAGCAAATTTTAATACATGAAAAAAGTATTACACTTGGAACATTTCCAGTGATTTAATACTACGTCCTATGTTGTGAAACCAAATGCCCTAGATAAAATTATTGTAGTTTATTATCATGAAATTATATTACTCTATAGAGAAGTCCAAAAAAAGTGTAACGTCTCGAATCCTGATTTAATATTTTAATTAATTTAAATAATTAATTAAACTACCGAGTCGGACACGAACAATGTTATTGTTGGAATTTGCCTTCTAATTTGAAAAATTACTCTATTTTGTATAGCTTGCCGAATGGTGAAACAAAGATAGTGGCCCAAGTTATGAATGACAGACTAAGTAATTAATTGGGCATAAACTAGTTATAATTGAATCATGAATATGTTGTTGGAACTTGAAGTTCTCATTTGGTTTGAATGATAAGAAGTCCACTCCTTGAAATTCATAGGAAAGTCCATCCAGGTTCGAGCCCCAACAGATGCTGAAGCATTGGTTCTTTTAGCATTACTTTTTTAAACCAGGATCTTGTTTATTCGAATTTAGAAATGGATTGTGAAATCGTGTGAATTAATTGTTGATACTGTACAATTGATGTATGTTTTGGGGAAAAGGGCGTGTTTGGGGCGGATGGGGTTCGGACCTCTGGCAGTTCGCCGACGGGTCGTCGACAGAGGCACATCACAGGCTTCCGATGCTGCTATGTGGTTCCAATTGGACTCATTTCGATTTAATTTAGTCAATTTGAGCTAATTGGGCTAGTTTGATCCTATTTGGGGCAATTGGGTTATGTTGAGTTCAATTAGATAAATTTTAGTTTCAATTGGATGGGTTGGGTTTTAATTGGATCAATTGGGTTGTTGTTGCATGATTTCGAGCCTATTGAGCCGGTTGGGCAGTTTAAGTAGCGAGCATGGGCTTTTTGGGCCGGTGATCGGTGCTGTCCAGGTTTGGACAATAGTTTGTTTGAACTGTCTGGTTAGTCTGATGGGTTGCCGGGCTTATCCGGTGGTGCTTTATTGTTCAGACGGGGGAAGTGAGTCCAAGGATAGAGTGATTAGTCCCGAATTTGCCACACATGTAAATTCTTTTAATGTTTCTTGAGTTTTATCTTGTTGTTTGAGCATGACACTATTCGGCGAGCCATGGTTCTCTCGATAGGCCGTTGAATTATGTGAATTGTTATGAGCTTATTACGGTTGTTGTTGTACCTGAAGCAGTTGAAAATAAGTCACCTAGTATATATTTACTCGGATCTCAAGTGAATTGAATAACTTGAGGTAATGTTTGACAATTAATATTTCATTTCAAATCATGTGTTTCAATTCTAAAATTTGAAATCTTGAATTTCAAATGACAAGGAAAGGTGCATGAATTTTAAATTAAGCTTGTTATGAATGAAAAGAATTTTACTCAAATCTAAATTCAAAATTTTTAAGTTTCCCAAACATTTTAAGCCAAATCCAAATTTAAAATCCAAATGCATGTTCCAAACATACAACTAATTAAAACCAATATCACTTTGATAGGTTCGGGCGTTGTAGCCCTAATTAATCCCGACTCCTTTCCTGTTTGCCTCTCTGCCTCTGCGACGAGCCGACGGTCGACGACCTCTGCCTTCCCGGCAAGCCGACGGGCGACGACCTATGCATTTGCGACTAGCCGACATTTTCTCTGCATTCCCTTAGAGCCACCGGCCAACTCTTCAAAGTCCGACGCCTTCAGCGACCACCGATTAACGCTGGCCAACTCTTCAAAACCCGATCAACGGGTATCATCCGATTGAGGTGTCTTCCCGTTTTTTACTTACTGATAGAACTATCTCGTTTAATTCCTTTCGTATTGTCTGAATATTTAATTTCCCCCCCCTAATATAGCTCTCAAATGGGGTAATGTAATTGTTTATTTCATTCTTTCTACTCTGTGCTAATTAAATCCTTCAAACTTCAGCTCCTATTGCTGATTATTTTTCCCATAATTATTCTTTAATACTTTGCCACATAGTGTTTTTGCCTTTTATTTTTCAATATTATTATTTGTAAATTAAGATGTATTTTTCAAGGGAAAGCCTTATCATACATGAACGCATCTGATTCCGTATTTTTCTAACTCAATATGATATTTAATTGATCGTTTATTGAACCCTAAGCTGGTTTATACTTCTATTTATTATTGAGTGTCTGTTTGTTTGGCAACAGTTTCATCGTTTAGCTTTAGCATTTTGAGAAGTGGTAGCGTTTAGCTTTGACATTTTCAAACTTTATTTGCACCATTAAATAATTATCTTAAATGCTAACACTAATAAAAAATATTGTTTCCAAACAAGGCCTGACTATCTGTATTGTGTTTTACTGGCAGGGGTGATGGGAATAATGAGCATTATTTTAAAGAAGCTTAGTTATTAAAACTTTTTCTAAAACATTTGGGTCCTTTAAAGTTTTTTTATTTATGCGGTTGGGGGTCTCTTAGAAACAACGAGTAGAAGTAAAGTCTGTGTATACACACCCTTCCTAGGTTTGTTGTGACTATTGCGTTAGGCACCTTGCACTCATAGAGGGTCAAAACTAGAATTCACAAACTCTTTTTACATTGAATATGAAATCAATACCAGTAACCTACTGTATTTGATTTTTTTGAAGAACTATTTACTGAAAAAACTCTCCGGACTCTTTTGTCCTATTTTTACATAGGCTTATTTGCAAGTGTGCGATATCAGTTTTGGGCATTTATCAAATGTAGGCCTCCTTTAGTAAAATCTCTTACACTATGTCTGGTTCAAGGAATTTGAAAGAGAAAAGAAAACAAAGTTCGAGGGAAAACAATTTTTCATGTTTGGTTAGAGAGAAAAAGAAAAGTGGAAGGAAAAGAAAATGAGAATACAAAATGTTCTAAAAGAAGGAAAAACTAAATTCCTCCCATTTTGGTGACGAAAATGAGAGAACAATTTCCTTTTCTTTTCTTTCCAAATTCCTTGAATCAAACATAGTGTTATAATATTTAAAAACCTTTGAAAAAATTTTGCCTACATAAGGTGTATGCTCTTTGTGTTTCGTGCACTTCACCCCCTTGAGACGGGTTTGCACATTTGGAGTTGGAAGTGCTGACCCTATATCATACCACACTTGATGCACTCAAGTGCGGACCTGAGCGCTAATGACAAGCTTGATCTTTGTATTTCAAGGCATTACATGTTCATAATTTCATCTCTTTAAAATATTCATAGTCATTTCTTACGAATTGGTATTTTTATCGTTGATGAGGCCTTAAATATGTAAAGCTAATAAAAGTGCTTTGATTTTTAGTATTTTGTTAAGAAGATCTTTATTCTGACAGTTGAATTGCATAATAATAATTGCAAATGAAAGAAAAACTAACAGAAGAGATAAGCAATGTGTGTAGCTATGTATATGAGGCTATGCATATGGCAGGCATTTTTCTAATACTTAGGTGCATTGTAATCAGATTATCCTTTAAAGTCATGTTATCCAAAATGATTTTACAAGAGGAATGGGCAGGTTTGCAGGACGATAAACCTTATGGATCTAGTTTTTTTATTCATATAATGGTAGATTAATGAGTAATTATTACCAATGGCGAGTAAATAACGCGTGTCAGGTGATGTTTGGGACATTGCGCAAGGGCTTTGAGAAAACTGTGAGAAAACATTGTATTACTTCCCATCTGATGGCAAACTCACGTTGCGTCTCTTTCTTTTACCCTTTATTATTTTTTCCTCCTTTGTTTCCACGTTATTCTCTTGGTATCTTTTGATGAAAATTAAACTTCCTATGTCCCCAATCAGATGTCCTGTTGTTCTTGAGTGACTTTTTTTTTCAATTCAATTTCTTTAAATATTGGGGCAAAATTTTATAATAGAATTTATATATCTAGAAATTGCATCAAATGCTTTATAAAAAAGAGTTGGGTTGACAACAACAACCTAGTTGAATCCCACAAGAGTGGGGTCTGGGGAGGGTGTGTGTAGGGAGACCTTACCCCTACTCGAAAGTAGAGAGGTTGTTTCCAAAGAGACCCCCGGCTCACGTTGAAAGTTGCATTGATTGACGAACTGCTACTTCATTAATCAAAGAAGAGCAGAGAGTTTAGAGATCCATTTTACTTTATTCCATCACACCCCAAAGCCAAAAAATAGTCTATTTTTGGCTCCATCGGAGATGATGGAAATGAGAGTTTGGTTGACTATTTTCATTTATTGATTAACAAAGATAGGCAAAGAAATAAGATATAGTTTGATCTTTGAATAGTGCACCATGCCACCCATTTGGTGATGGAGGGGGTAGTTGCTATTTATTGATTAGATTCATTAACTATGAAGTATGAACTTTTAGGCATGGCGCAAGGGAAGTCAAGCCATCAAAGTTGAGTCAGGCTGTGAACGAAAGGCACACGCCTAGGCCCACATTTGCGCTTTATGCGCAGAACTTTTCTTCATGTGTTTCTTTTATACTCTTCCATTTCCCAAAAAGGTTTTCCCCTTTCTTATGGATCTAATGGATAACTTCTCATATTACTACCCCAACGGATCTATAGATTTTAAAATCTGTTCATTTGATCTAAGTACTTAATTTACTATGAACAGATTGTATTGCTATCTTTTTATTTTCAGGCGTTTACTTTTTTTTCATTCATATTTGTGATACTCATTTCCCTCTATTAAATCACTTGGTTTTGAGATCGCTGACGCTGCTTTAAATAGTTGAAGCTAATAAAGTACTCCGATTTTTAGTATTTTATCCGGGGAAGTGGCTGTTTTGCAGGATTGTAAGCCGTATGCATCTTGTTTAATATTCCTATACTAGTAGATTAACAAGAAATCCATGCCAACTGTTAGTAATTAAGTATCACCTGCCAGATGATGTTTGGGACATTGCGCAAGGGCTTTGAGTCTCCGGTAGGGGAAACTGTGAAAAAACGTTACTGTATATCACAGCCCATCTGATGGCAGACTCTCATTTCATCACTTTCCGTTACCTTTCATGATCGCTCTCTCCCTCCCTTGCTTCCATATCTTTCTCTATGTATCTTTTGATGAAATTTATAACAACCCAGTTAGATCCCACACGAGTAGGGTTTGGGGAGGGTTTGTGTGTAGTTGCCCCTTCTCGAAAGTGGAGGATGAAATTTATAGTTGCTATTTATTTATTTATTTATTTATATATTTTTGTACTTATTTATTTATTTATTAGATTGGATCACTACAAACGTTAGGGACGCGATCACTTATTTGGGGTGACATCTTATATGGTATTCTGAGTCATGTTGCCATAGTGGTGGAAGGCACTGGTGCACGGGAAATCCCATCATAGATGTTTATTCAAGCCATGAATGAATGACACATGTCTAGGTGCGCAGCGCTTAATGTGCAGAATTGAAGTGTTGTTGCCCAAAATGATTTTACCCGGGGAAGGGGCAGCTTTGCCGGATTGTAAGCCATATGAATGGTGTTCTATTATTCTTATAATGATAGATTAATCGTGGCAACTGTTAGTAATTAAGTATCACCTGCCAGATGATGTTAGGGACATTGCGCAAGGGCTTTGAGTCTCCACTTATCATTTGTGTGGTGGAAACTGTGAGAAAACATTATATCACATCCCATCTGATGGCACTCTCATTCCATCACTTTCCGTTACCTCTCGTTATCTCTTTCACTCTCTCTCTCTCTCTCTTCCTGTTTCCATGTCTTTCGCTATGTATGTTTTGTGAAATTTATAGTTGCGATTTATTTATTAGATTGGATTACTACCATCGTTTAGGGATGCAATCGCTTATTAGGGGTGACATCTTATGTGGTAATCTGAGTCATGTTTCCATACTGGTGAAATACACTGGCGCAGTAGATTTCGGGATCTCTTCATTTGACCTAAGTACTTAGTTAACTGTCCACTGATTGTATTGCAATCTTTGTATTTTTAAGTGTGTGCGTGCGTGCTTTTTTTTTTGAAACAAATGCACGTCTTCATTCCACCACAAAGAAACTGATTACAGCCTTAACAAAATAAACAAGATAGCAATACAGTTAGCTTCTTAGCTCTATAGCAAACAAAAGGCCTACTCAGCTTTCATCTTTTTCGCCTCTCCCAATATGTAGCTACACGGTAAAGGACCCATCTAAACATGTATAGCCTTTAATTTACTGCATAGTATTTTAGAGATAACTTTGTAAATCATGTTACAACAAGCTATAGGTCTATAATCATTGGCCAAAATTGGTGCTTCAATTTTTGGAATCACTGATAGTGTAGTTGAGTTGATTTCCTTCAAAAATTTACCAGAGTTAAAAAACTCCTATATAGTTCTAGTGATCAGCTCCCCTACCACTTCCCATTGCCTAGTGATAAAGCTTCCTTCACCTGTTCACCTTCAACTTCAGCATTTGATAATTGTGATAGTCATTTGATATTTGTTCCATTCATATTTGCGAAAGTCATTTGATATCCATTCATATTTATGATAGTCCCCTTGTACTTTTTTTCCATAACCTGAAAAATAAGTGTGAGCATTGGTGAAGATTACAAAGAGAGAGATATATTTAGTTATTGCTTGGCTGTTAATTTTTTTAAAATGGGAACTGGATAATCTCTTGAACAATAGGGAGGAATTAAAATTGGCTGCTAATTTTGAGAATACAAGGGTCTTTGTTTTTTTCAGGGCACATCAAATGAAACATATTGTGAAAATATTTACAATTTTGGTCGCTGTATCTGCCCTATGGATGTGGTTGCTTAAGACGGCTGTTTTACCAGAAAGTTATACTTGGTTGGTAAGAATAGTTTCTTCTTCTTGCTCACCACTTTAGTCTAATCATTATTATCCAAAGACCTAAGTTGGGTTATTTTTTTACTTCTCTGCCAGCTGCCAATTTATTTCATCGTGTCGCTAGGGTGTTATGGATTAGTAATGGTTGGAGTAGGCCTGATGCAGTTCCCTACTTGTCCCCAAGAGGCAGTTCTTTTACAGCAGGTAAGAGTTTACTTTCGTTATCTCTTTTTTTTGGAGAGGTTAGGGTCTGTTCTCTTCATCTGATCTGATTGTAGTTAAGTTTCTAGTTGTTTCGGATCAAATATGAACAAGTAATAAGAATAATTTGAAGAGAACATGCTCGTAGTCAAAGGTATGAAAACAATGTTTATTTCAATGGAGAGGTGGAAACGGAAATAGTACTAAATAAAACTCTGTTATAATTTATGTATTTGATGTTATTTTTAATGCAATTTAAAATATAACGCCATCTCTAAATAAAAGACCACTTTGGCCTAGAGAATGAAAATATGGTTCAGATTTTTGTAGAAGAGAGGAAACAACATGAATCAAATAATGCTTTCGTTTTAAAGGAATGGGTGTGTTTCGGAATGATAGGGAATGCTAGTAGATTTAGACAGGTCGAGTAATATATTGAAACAAAAGTGATTTATTTGTACAAAGAAGGCGGAACATAATCTATTATTTCTTTTAAAAAACCAATTTTCCAATAAGCCTCCAAAGTCCAAATCCTGTAAGCAACGCAGGTTCTGTGCCCAACATATATTGCAATTTCTTTCTTTCTTTCTTTTACACTTTGTTTGGGAGGAATTTGATTTTCCCTCCTCTTAGTAATATTTGTCTTCCCATTTACTTTTCTCTCCTTTTCTTTTCTTTTTCTCTTTAACCAAACAAGAAAAAAATCATTTTCCATCTCATTTTCTTTTCTTTTCCCTTTCAAATTCCTCGAACCAAACATACATTTAGTTGGTCATATGCAATGTGGATATGTACTAATTTTGCAGTCATGTTTTGTAGGACATTCTTGAAGCCCAGACCTTCCTGAAGACAAGAGGAGTTGATGTTGGTTGATCCATGGCAACTGCCCAACACTTCCTTTTCTTCTTATATGAGAGAGTTTGCTTTATCTTGTGAAGCTTTCCCCTATCCTGCACAATGTTTTTAGTTGATTAAAATGATGATTTATATAGCTGGTAATGGGGCATGATACCAATATATATATATATATATATATATATATATATATATATATATATATATATATATATTAATGATAATGATGATTTGCAGTCACATGGAGGGCAGGTTGCAGTAAAATTCATGAATGACTTTCTTGACAAATAAATTCAGGTAGAGTGATTAATTTCATTAAACCCTTGCTCAAGAGAGAGTTGGCACTATGGTGGTCTTTTTCTTGGAGGCTTTCACAAGGAATGACTCACTTGGTTACAGCACAATTACACACCATCACAAGCATTGCAATTTACAAGTATACCAATAGCTAATTCGCATATCATTATATTACTCCCTCTGACTCCCTGTATTTGTCCACATTTGACTTTTGGAACTGTTCATCTAAGCACTTTGACTCATCAAATTCTCTCAATGTGTAAGCCTAAATATAGTCATGTGTGATCTTGTTTGATTTGTCTTAACATATAGATTATTAATATATAATTTTTATAATTTTTTAATATACAAATTACAAGATAAAATGGATTAAAGAAGTGTATTGGATAGTGTGCAAAAATGAAAGTGGACAAATACAGGGGGACGGAAGGAGTATTAGAGTATATAAAATGGGATAAATGGGATGGAATGATACACTTTTATGTTGTATGCCCCAGCTAAAATTGAGACGAAACGAGTTTGGGAAAAAATGAATTCCAAATCAAATGGGTCTGGAACCTCGCGGAACTGGTCAACTAGAATGGGTTTTATGCCCACCCCTTGTATATATGAGAACATGTGTTATGGATTTCAATCTATCGGGATGTGTAAAATATAGAATATAATTAATATTGAATAATTAATCTAATAAATATAAATAATATGATAAGCACATGATATTTACTTGATAACTCAAATTAGAAGACAATCACAGTCTTTTCTGACAGTACAATATATTGCCATTGATAGAGCTTGGAATCATCAGGCTTATGGTTTTTCTAATGGGCTTCTCTTTTGGACCCGTACAATATCCATTGATTCGATCTCCATCAATGTGATATGCAAAAAAGTCAGAGTTAAGAAATATAAATAACTGATCAATAGATTAAAATTAGTTTATTGTAATTACTAAAAACATTTTAAACAATATTATAAAACTAAAAAGATTAAGAATATAAATACCAATAACTAATATTAATACGGAGTTTTATTAACATTAGAAATTGATACGAGTACTTTATATATTTACATGTAAAACTTTGATGTTATAATATAAATGAAATTATTATATAAAAAACGCACACACTGTAATTTATATTTGCATCCGAAGGCTTTAGAAGTATTTGAAATTTTCTAGATGTTAGTTGATGCACTGTTATATTTTTGGGTTGAATATTACATATTGGGCTCCTTTTCTTAATACTATATTCGTGCTAAAATATTTGTCTATTTTTATATTTTCTAGTCAATTATTTTCAACTTTTGATATATATATATATATATATATATATATATATATATATATATATATATATATATTAAAATATTTTATAAAGTAAATATAATATCAATTTTATTTAATTAATGATTAAAATTTATCAATTTTTATTATAAGAATTCAAAACTAACGAATATTTAAGGAAAAAGGTAGTACAAGTTACTCTATACTTGATATATTGAGTATTCTTTTTATTGTAATTGTATGGATGTGATTCTTTTTGTTTAGATGTAATTTTATTAAATACTCGTATAGAAAAACATTAAGACAGGCATGCCTGTGTGGCTGTGATTATTTTTTTCTTTGCCATGTTTGACAATTTGAACTTAAATTGAAAAACACTTAGATTTCTTATGTTTTTTTACTATACATCACTATTGAATTTTTAATCCAAATCCATTAACATATCTCTTGTAACTTTAGTAATGATGCATGTGTAGAGGCACATCTCAAGCGAGTTGTTCCTTTCAACATTTTCAACTCTGATGTGTCTAATAAAATTCAGCTAATCTTTAGTCATAGTCAATTTATGTTGCTATTTCATGTGTGATAGATCAACAAGGATTTGTTGGGGAAATTAACGAGAACGTGGATCAATCGAGAGTCGTGTATAACACTTTCAGATTGAATATTTTGGTTGTTCAATCACAAATTCAATCGGATAAAACTTAAGAGTAACAAGAACAAAATACGAAATTGTTGTGAATTTCTGAATGTTTTTCGGCCATGGGCTTGCGGGAATTTATAAAGTTGCGGTGAGAAGGAGAAGACGCAATCGCGTCTATTACCCAAGACACGCGTTCTTTCGCGCGAAACTCCTTGGAAAATTAGCGCTATCCGTAACAAATTTTTCTTTTAAAGGACATTCGAAAATACAAATTCAAATGAATTTTTAACATAGCACTTTGACCCCAGCCAGGGGCTCTGCCCCTTGGACCCCGCAGGGGCTGCCGCCCCTTGAACCCTGCTCGGGGGCGATGCCCCCGAACCCCTGCCAAGAGGGCGCTACCCCTTGGAACCCCTGATATAACGAGATTTTTATCGTAACAAACTCAATGAAGCGTGCACTCCGCATCTCCAAAATTCTTTGATTATTATTAGGATACATTAGTCATAATTTTTCCAATTACACTAAAATATATAACAGGATTGAAGATTTTGACTTGCGATAGAGAAAACAACTCTCTCAATCATACTTCGAAAATATATAACAGGATTGAAGATTTTGACTTGCGATAGAGAAAACAACTCTCTCAATCATACTTCGAATGTTGTATACGAATTATAAAAATGTTTTCAAGAATTTATGATTTTGTTTTAGTTTTACTATTATCATGCACTCTTGATTGATGACATATATTATGTGGATTACACCGTCATTTATATACAACTGAAGTTTAGTGACCTATCAAATTGCCTGTAATAATGTGCTATTTATATTTTCTATTATGTATATCGTCAGTTAATATTTTCACCATGCATCAGAAGGATTAAAATCTAGTATAAATATAAACAACTGACCAGTCGGTTAACATTGGTTTACCTTAACTATTAAACATTTTTAACCATATTATAAATTTTAAAAACTAAAAATATAAACATTAATAACATTGATACAAGTATTTTACATATTTACATAAAAAACTTTGATGTTAAAATAGAAATGAAATTATAATAGAAAAAGGTGAATACTTTGTAATTGATATTTGCATAGGAAGGTTTTAGAAGAATTTAAAATCTTCTGGATGTTTGTTGGACACTAAACACTCTCTCACTTGGAAGGTGTGCATTTAACTTGTTGAACTCTCTTTTTAGATTATTTTTTCCACAAGCTAGTTTAGTTCAGCTTATTATAATTTAGTACTTTCTCTGTTTCAAGTTAAATTGCCCATTTATTATTTACATTATCAAACTTCATTTTTATTTCTCTATTTTTTGGTCATTTGATAGAATAATATAGTTATGTCATCACTAGTTTTGTAGATCTTTTTATGTATTTTTTAAATATGTAATTTTTATTTTTTAATTCCACACCATTTTTCATATAAAATGATTTGAAAAATAATTTCAGTAAAATATCATAAACGAAATCTGCAATTTAAAGTGAGACAGAGGAAGTATATCAATTATATACTCCCTCCGTCTCTAAATATTCACAACATTTACTTTTTCAGCAGTCGCGTGAATTTTTGTTTATTTCGACGTTTTCATTGGTTATTTTATAAAATAAAATATTCTTGACACCTCTTATTTCAAAGAACTTTTCATGTAGTTTTTTTATATGTAATTTTTATTTTTTATTTATTTACCAATATATAAATAAAATGAATTGAAAAAACTTGAATTAAAACTATGAAAATAGAATTGAAGACAACAATTATAATTTTATTGTTTGCTAGCACAAGAGCATGTAGACTTAGAATTGATAGTGCCAAAAATGAATTTGAATTAAACAATTCAGTTTCATTTATGGTATGTTTGGGAACATAGATTTGGATTTCAAATCCAAATTTGGCTGAAATTCCATGTTTGGGATACTTACAAATTTTGAATTTGGATTTGAATCAAATTCTTCTCATTCATAGCAAAGCTTAATTTTAAATCCATGTGCTTCCTCTTGTCATTTGAAATTCAAAATTTCAAATTTAGGAATTGAAATACATGAATTAAAATGAAATTCTAGTTGCCGAACACTACCTTAAATCAATTCCAAAGAATTTCAACTCGCAATTCAATTTGGATTTCATTAATTTCATGTATCTAAGTGGCTTAGATTTCGATATCTTCATACCCGGCCCGGTTCTAGTGACACCAGAGAACGGTGCCACTAGCGGTGCCACTGAGTTTTTGAAGTATCTCCGGTGCTTCGTTCGTAAAATTGATAGTTCCTAACCCCCCACCCTACCCCCGATCCAATTCTCCGTTTCGCTCGTTTCAACAAGATGAACAACTCTTGTTCAGGTGACAACTTCAATTTGTAAAACGTTTCAAATGGCTTTCTACAACATGATTTATCAGTATATTAACTTCAAAGTGTGTCTCTTGCGTTCTAGTAACTTCTTTGCTATTTTTCTTCAGAATTAGAACAACTTCTACCAAAATTCTACATAATTGAGAAAGTGCTATTTACAGGAAGAATTTTGGAAAGCAATATATTTCAATAAATATACTTTAGATTTTATTTTAAAAAAAATAATATAAAATACGTTAAATATGAGGAGACAATCATTAACAGAATTGTGTTATCAATATAGTACCTCCGTCGCAGAACATTAGGCACAATTTAACTTTTTTGATCAAATTGTGTCATCCTTTGATATTTATAAATGAAGTTTTAAATAAATAAATATTATAAAAAATTTGATACATCACTATATCTTAAAATAAACCTAAATATATTGAATTAATATTATAACTAAATATATTTTTCCGCAATTTGTAGTCAAAGTGTGACATGATTTGACCAAAAAAAGTCAAAATGTGCCTATAGTTTTAAGACGGAGGGAATTCATAACTACTCAAAAATGTTTGAACCACATGCTCAATCACTCGAACCACTCGTTCGACAAGTGAACATGTACATTGTTGTTACGGATATAAGGAATTAAGGATATCAATAACTTCCCACAGATTGAAGAGTTGAGTTCAAACCATTAGAGGAGATGGATGACATATGCATTTACACTTCAATCTATATATATAAACCTAATGTTTTTTTAAGCGTCTAACAGTAAGAACTAATAAGAACAAATGTACGTGTAGTCTTCGTTTTGGAGAATAGCAGAATACCGTCATGTTTCTGAAAGCCTAAGCAATGACCTATATATACCTTGGGCGTTTCTTCTTCTCGGGAGTAGCATGCACCTGCGTTTTCTGTCCGTATGTCTTGAGCTGAAAGTTCTCAAAGGCCTCTGAAACCGCTCCCACCTGTTTTTTTAAGAGAATTAAAAAAAACTGTGCTGAATTTGTGAATGAAATGGGAAAATGTGCTTATTATTACGGAGTATTATATTGGTTCTCACAGACCAGATCAAGTTTTTTGGAGTAAACTCGAACGATCATGTCCTGATAACACGCAGGCAACAAGTGACTGACACGGTCATCTTTGATGGGAAACTTTTCATGACTTTCGAAATCCTGAAAATGAGATACGGAGTAAATAATAATATCAATGTCAAGAGCAAAAAGAATCACCTAAGAAAACCAGATAAATCGAAGTACCTTATAAAAGTTGATGCTGGAGAAGCCGAAGGGTCACGAAACAGCAGAAAAGAAAGCAGTTAACAGATGAGGGTTCAAAGTAATTGTATCATATGGTATTCCTACCACACATACCGTTCGAGTGGATTTTTTCTACCGCGTGTCAGGTCAATTTTGACATTAGTTACGACAATATCTTCTTCCTTTAGCATAGGCACGTTCCCGTTGGAACTCTGCATGATAAGAGTAAAAACAATCCATTAGAGATAGCACGAGTACTATTGCTAGAACTGTAGAGGAGTAATTGTGGCAAGCAGGACCTGGGAACAAATCACATCTTGAGGGGTGACTGGTTTGAAATGGTCCATCTTCTCCTTTGGCACGGCAAATTCGTTACAGAACTATTGAACATTTTTAATATTCTTTAGGACTACCGCCTGACAGATAGCTTGGAAAAAAGTATTAGAGGAGATGGTAGAGTATTTTCTCTCAAGTTTAGACCTGGTACAATTCCCTTCTACGAATCCGAAGGATGAGATCTCTGGATTCCTTCAGCTCTGGGCAAGAACTTGTTTCAATGGTTTTTACTATTGTGTCATCTAACTGCAATTTTGTTTCGGTTTTAAGAGACCGACGTTTTAAGATATTATGTAAAGTAGAAGAGAAGAAAATAAATGGTCTAGGACAAGTAATAAGGATATCCGACCTGCCAATACTGAGCTGGTTCATCAATGCATGATGCAATTTGAAGATAATCATTTGCCTTAACCAAAGCATCAACAACCATCAGTTCCATAGCCTGGAAAAAGGAAACCCCATAGATGCATAAGTAATGATCATAAAATAAAAATGGCAACATATTCAAATTGGGAACAAAAAAGTCTTTGTGATTAACCTTCACTTTTGAGTGCATATAGACTGTCCGGTGCAAATCAGCCCTTGTATAGAATAACTTGTGGATGGTAAGATCTGAGCAAAATGATTACTATATAAAAACCAAAGACTAAAGAACACAATGCCAGTCCTATCTGGTAAACTGGACGTAACCATATACTAACATTCTTTGGCACGATAGCATATCTCATTATCAATTACGTGCATTGCGTCCAAAATTCTGCATGAGAAAGGGAAAACAGCTCTTAGGATTGCTTCTTGAGGGTAATACTTGGTAGAAATCAAGCTTTAAAAAACCATTTCATTCTTAACAATAACGGCAAAATAAAACAGTTCAATACCTTATGATGGACTTGCAAAAATATAAAGAGTAGGACCAGGGTACAAACGTTATACCTCTCAAACTGGAAATTACAACCAAGACCACAAGCCCGGGAGTCACGGATAATATAATCAAATCTGAATGAACATAATAGACGTGTAACTCTCAAGAGCTATTGTCAATATCAAGGCGGATAAAAAAAGGAGTCAAAAGCAGAAAGTTACTTGTCAACATCGATGCCATTTCTCCCATTCGCAACAATATCATACAAGAACTGCTTTTCTTTCAAGCTCTGTGTGGGAAATATTGATTAGTGAGTTAGAAATGGTTAATATTTTGTTTACCAAATAGAGGGCCCAAGACAATGACTTACATTAGTTTGATTACTCTCAGAAGCAATTATCATTTCCTACATTGGTAAGAAGAGGTACATGGCAGTAAGAAGGAAACCCCTTTGAAGCTCTATCATCAAGCAATGAAGAGTACATTTGATAAAGCAACTAGAAGTCAAAAGCAAACACTATAGGAAAAGCAAATATCAGTACTCTCCAAGTATACTGGATTCCAGTTGTGATACATAGAATGGAAATGCACTCTAGCAGGAGGGCAGAAGTGGAAATAGCACAAAGACTAAAGTGAAAAGCAGAATAGCTTGAGGAATAACAGATATCATTGACAAGCAAACCTTCACTTTTTTATGTTTCTCAGAATCAATGTCAATGTAATGTTTATCAACAATGTAGTCTATCATCTTCAAAGACATATCTTCATGAGACCTTCACAAATTTCACTTATCAGTTGAGATGGCTACTCTAAGATAAATAATACAGAACTAGTTTCTTAATGAAATTGCAGAAAAATAAGACTGCATTACAAACCATTATTTGCCAAGAAACTGATGAGGGATAAAATCACACTTGTTATATATATAGAAATCTTTGTGATAATTTGTATACATCAAATAATAAAGCAGAACCAATGGTTCGAGAACAAATATTAAGGTGATTCTCTATTGAATCAAATAATTTGCTTATGTATGAATGTAAATAAATCTAGTTGAGGAAATCCAAATACCATTTGATGCCATTAAGAACCCGAGGAAGAAATTCACGCTCAAACATGTGACTGAATGGCCCATGTCCCACATCATGTAGTAATCCTAGATACAACAAAGAAAATTATTGGATAATGCAGTTTACCAGAAAAAGAAATGTTGAAGATAAATTAGTAGGTTACCAGCGAGTTTTACTGTCTGAACATCAAAATGATCAATTCCCAGCTCAGATCCCTAGAAAACAAAAACATATTGTACTAAGTTTGGTCTGTGTGACCTTACCACAACAAAAACAACAACAAGAAAAAGAACAACAAAAACCCAGTAGAATCCCACAACATTAGGGTTTGGGGAGGGTGTGTTTATGCAGACCTTACCCCTACTAAAAGTAGAGAGGCTGTTTAAAATAGACCCCCAACTCAAGCAATGCAAGGTTTGTGTGACCTTATACTAAGAATAATAGCAACACATGAGTATATTCTCACTTGATTGGCTTTAAGCCTTTGTATAGTATCACTTGCCAACCAATAGACACCAATTGAATGCTCAAACCGAGAGTGCACTGCCCCAGGATAGACCAAGAAAGTAAGACCTACTCAAGAATATGACATTGTCATGATCATGCAGTATTGTAAACACATAAATCAGGGTATGCAGTGGAACTAAGACAGCCACAGACTCTAACAATTAAACCATAGTTAAAGCACAAGGAGAAACTTTTGATGTGACTGAAGCATCATTCTCCCAAATCCAGATACTCATTGTATAAGAGAGCCAGCTAGCTTATTACGCTAGTTCCCATCATGCACCAAGTTCAAGGCTTATGTTCTTGTCTGAATGAATAAAAGGACATACTAGTATATCAACAGTAAATTAATCATCTAAGCACTCTATGAACCATGCTACTCAAAGCTACATATAATCAAATTTCAAAGCTAAAGCATTACTTCTTAGATACAAGTGAACATGGAAATATAAACTATTGAATGCGCACCAAGTTGCTTCAAATCTCGAAGCCTATAAGACAACAAAAATAAAAACAATCAATATCTTCATTTTAAATGGTTCAAAAAAAAAAATATCTTCATTTTAAAGTGTGTAATGTGAATCAGAAAAAGAAGCGGAAGTGCAGAATGGTTAAACTTGCCTCTGAAACTGTTCTGAGTCCACAAACTTCAGAGAAAGCTGAAATTAGTGGAAATTGAAATTATTATTCAATTGTGTAAAACTTTTAGATTTTATAGTAGCATGTGTGCTAGTATCAATGTTGTAGCTCTTCTCTACTGTCGACTTGCATTCAATTAGTTACCAAATATAATATCCTCCTCCCACCATTTCGGAAATAAAACTAACCTAATATAAACAATCATGCTTTAACTTTGTCTCCATATAGCAAAACCTAAAACAGAGATTAGCTTACGCCTTAAATTCAATATAAAAAAAAACTGGCCAATACAACATTCATGATCGCCGGTACTCCTATTCAAACTTCTCATTTCCAATACGCTAGTCCCGTCTTCGATGGAGATTGAAAGGTCGAATCGAGTTCAATCTCTCAGAAGAAAAACCACAGCCTCGATTTATAACAACATTCACTACTAATTTTAAGCATTCAAACGGAGCGGAAATTCAAAATCAAATAAACTATGGAAGGCATGAAAAACGAGAGATAGTGATTCGGAGAGCCGTACAGGGTCGAGATAGATGTTTCCGTGAACGTTATCGTAGACTTGCTTCGAAAATCGCCGATCATCGGCCGGCGAGCAGTAACTGTAGCTCGGAAATCCGTCGGTGCTGCAAGCCACCATTTCTAACCCGATCACCGAGAAACCACAGCAGGGAGGTTCTAGAGAGAGAGAGAGAATGTCCCTTGTTTGAGAGAGCAGCGAATAGTTTGAAATGACAGAATGCGGTTGCTTTATTGTGTTATATACTCAAGACAGAAACGGAAAGGGAATAAGGCGAGACCTTGAAGGAGAGCGAGAGGCGACGGGTAGAGAAATTCCGGAGTCAATGTCAACGGTCAAGTGACTTAAATTCTACGGAGTAATAAAGAAAATATGGAAGAAATAAAAAGTCCCCAGTTCTAATTAATAATTTTTTTTTCTGAAATCAAAAAGTAAAATATTTTTAGAAATTAAAAACTTGAGGATAAAATAATAAATAAAATAAAACAAAAAATAATAATGAAGATCCTTTTTGGACATCTAAGTTCCAACACTACTACAAAAAAGGTAAAAAGACTGCCTCAATTGCATCGCATACAAAAGTAACCGATACAAAAGATCAAAGGCATCGGTTGTTTTTTAAAAGCGATGCAATTGATTGTTATTAGCATCGGTTATTTTGCAGAACCCGATGCAATAGATCAATGGCATCGGTTATAAAAAATAACCGATGCTAATACTTATATTTTATTTTTTAATATTTTCAAAAATTAAACAAATGCATCGGGTTTTTATGAGAACCGATGCTAATGTCCTGTTTTTTTAAGTTTTTAAATAATATAACAAACGAATCGGTGTTTTTAACAACCGATGCCAATACTCTTTTATATTACGTTAATATTAATTGGACCAAATTTATACGGAGTAAGTTGTAAAACTTTATTTTTAATTGAAGGAGGCTGGAGAGGTCAGGGGACTTTATCTTCAATCGGTTTATCTTCGATCAGGCTGACTTCTTCTCGGACGGACAGATGACCAAGAAAGGTTTCTCCGTTGGATTCGGCTTCAATTGACGACGGACGCCGGGATCCAGGGCCGAGTCGACCAGAACCAGAACATCGGTATCTCGCTCCAGTCCTGCGGGATCGTGCCGGGTCAAGATCTGAAACCCGTATCCGACGAGATCCAGACGTTTCTCGGGCGGCCGTGGAAGAAATACTCGCGGACGATGGTGATGGAGTCGTACATCGCCGGCCACATCGATCCCGCCTGTTGCACTTGCCCAATCTGTTTCACTTAGTTTTCAATTTCAGGTATTTTGAAATTGGTCGGTTTATTGTGTATGCGGTTGCTTCACGCTAATTTCTCTGTGCGTGTTCTGAATTCCCCAACCATTTCATCTATTTTAGATCTAGGGTTTGTATTCACAGTTTTTCTATGAACATGGCATGAAATAGTTGTGAAGTCAAGCCATTTTTGCTCCACGAGAGTAATCTATTTGTGTTGGTTGGGGGATTTTTGGGGGAGGGAAGGAGGGGCGTATTGATTTTCAGTTTTCTAACTTATCTCTATGTGCTAGTTTTGTATACTGTTATAAATGAAATATCTACGAGTTTACTCATGTGTTTCCAAACTGGATCTCCCAACTATAGAGGAGATATTGAGCTATACATACATGTTTCCTAGCAAAAAAGCAATATAAAAAACTGCTTGAAATTAAGGTGTTGATAATGATAATGGTGTTGATGATGTGCAGGTATTTTAACTCCTTGCAGAGTGAATGCTTTCTTGTTTGCTACCTTTCGAACGTGAACATGGTTATTTCTGCACCTACTAGAAGTGGGAAAACAGTAGTTTTTGAACTATGCATTTTGAGGCTTCTCTCATGGTTCATATCCACTGAGGGTGCATTTGTTACATAAATCGACTCAGTTCAAAGTCTTTTTTTATTATTGTTACTTTTCCAAAAACCATGTTTTTTCACCCCCAACTAGTACTTTGATTTAACTTAGTTGTGTTCCTAGTATCCTGTCTGGTTTAGGTGTAGACATCATTGCAGTTATCTGTTTTAGTACACTGCCCCTTCCTCGAAACATCATATCGTGATCTATACTCATCGATGCTTTGATTACTTAATGACTATCGTGATCTATACTCATCGATACACGCATTGTGATCTATGCAGAAGTTTGATGCTGTGACTCGATATCACATTAAAGATGGAGGCCTGAGCTTTTTCAGTGACATTGCTCTGGTACCAAAATATTAATGACCTCGGTAACTATAATTTTTATGAGTATTGCTATTTCTATGAGCCTGTAATTCAAAATAAATCTGAGTGAATTTAGGATAGCTAATGTAACAAACACTTACAGTAATTTTTTTTGCAGCGGAGTGGCTTATGGTTCCTCATCATGGAATTAAAAAGTTAAGTAGTTTTTACCACATGATGGGTATATTTGTTGTTAGATTGTAGAAACAACCTAATTGGTCATTTGTATTTTGCTTTATTCTGTCAGGTTAGGCGAAGAAATGAGACCAGTGAAGTTGACAACCAAAGTTTTAGGTGCACCAAAACTCGGAAATATGATCACTGTGTTGTGAGCTGCTTTTTTTCTCACAATGCATCTTTTATTTGATTGTCATTCTTTTTCTAGACTACACTCCTGCAAAGAATGACTTTCTATTTGAAAAGTTTTATCCCTGTGAATATTCGCCATTTGACTCTTGTTTGTTCCACTGCCCATCTCATAGACTGAACTTGTGAATTCCCCTTCCCAACATGCTTGATAGTGTTTGGGTTAATTCTTTGTTTGATAGAGAGCTATTAGAAATACCACCTTTTTATTAATATTTATAAAAATAGCATAGCAAAGGCATCAGTTCGTTAGAAAAAACCGATGCTAATACTTTTTTTTTTAAATTAATAAAATAGCAAAGGCACCGGTTGTTTAGAAACAACCGATGCTAATACTCTTTTTTTTAATTAATAAAATAGCAAAGGCACCGGTTGTTTAGAAACAACCGATGCTAATACTCTTTTTTTTTTAATTTAATAAAATAGCTAAGGCACCGGTTGTTTTTGAAGTGATGCAATTGAATTGGATCAATTGCATCGCTTGTATTTACATCGGTACAAAACCGATGCTAAAGGTATAAAACAACCGGTGCCTTTGCCCTTTTATGTACTAGTGCAAGGACTTTGTAGTCGTCTAAATTTTTTTTTATAAGACTCTTTTTTACATGTTTTAATTTTTTTCATTTCATTTTTTCATATTTTTATTATTTTATTATGCATTTTTCTTTTTGAACTTACCAATAAAATTATTCTAGAAAACCAAAAGTCAAAACGTTTAATTTGAGATGGATGGAGTATATGTTATTTTTTTTATTTTTTTAAACACAAAAAAATATGAATTTTTAAAATATTATAAAAAATGAAAAGAAAAATAAAAAAAATTTCTAGGAAAAGAAAACAAAGAGATATAAAAGAGTTAAAAAGGGAAAAACTAAATACTCTGTAATAAACAAAAAAATAAGAAATGAACACGAGTGTCCCCTATGGTTTAGAATATAGGAATCAATGCCCTTTTTTCGCTGGAAAATGACCAAAGGGTGTGGATATAATGTTTTGAAACTACACTGACTTTAGAAAGAAATTGAAAACATATGAGATATTGGTATCGATTTTTCAAATAACAAAGGACATTGGAGCTATTTGTTTCTTCTTCTATCTATGACCTTTGTGTGAGGTGCACACCTAAACCTTGGATGCACTAAAATTTTCATTCACCTTGTGGCTTGCGTTTCGTGGTAGACTACCCACAAAACATAGCTTCGCTTTCATTGACATGCGTGACGACAATGTAATCTATGTAGTGGTGGAGTTGAGGACTTAACACACCTTTTCTTTGGATGTGAAGTTGCATCACAAGTCTGCCTCGGGATTCGGGTTTGGCTTGGCATTGAAAAGGAACAATCTACTCTTGCGAGTGCTAAGAGGTGGATGCGTAAGTCACACATGGTACATGCCGTCAAAATGAAGGCTTTGCGGTTGGCTTTTGCTGCTACGATGTACTACGTTTGGAGGGCTAGGAACGTGGTTTGTTTTTATCACTCCTCACTTTGTGTTACTTCTATCATTTCTAAAATAATAGCTGTAATTTATAGTCTTGTATAACCTTTTTCCGTCATGTATGGTATATTCTTAAGACTGGCATACAAGCTACTTTATTTGATGTTCTCTGCGGTTTTTTGTTGTTGTAAATCGTTTGATGTTTGGGGATGTTCGTCCTGTTTGTATTCTTTTTTTTCTAGGTTGCAATATTATTACATGTTGAAGAATTATTATTTTATATGTTGATCTCAGAGGTCAAGCCTCGTATATATACAGAATACAAGACTCCTAATTATGGTAGTACATAAATGCAATAATCCTATACAAAGGAAACTACCAAATATAATAATATTTAAATATACACAATATATTTAACATGCTCCCAACTACGTAACCGATGAAGGACGGATGCCGAGACTGTGTCTGAAATCGGAGAAAAGGAGTGATGGGAGCCCTTTGGTGAAGATGTCAGCATACTGGAAAGATGAGGGAACATGAAGGACGCGAACTTGTCCTAAGGCGACTTTGTCTCTAACAAAGTGAATGTCAACCTCCACATGCTTGGTGCGCTGGTGCTGAACCGGGTTGGATGAGAGATACACTGCGCTGACGTTGTAACAGAAGACCAGGCGTTTGCAACAGCGCGATACTCAGCCTCAGCACTCGAGTGGGATGTGGTAGCTTGTCTCTTGGAGGACCAAGAGACGAGATTATCGCCAAGGAACACACAATATCCAGAGGTAGAGCGGCGAGTATCGAGGCATCCAGCCCAATCAGCATCTGAGTAGGCCTGTAAACAATCCGTGCGAGTGCGATGGAGAGTGATCCCGTGAGTGGTGGTCTCGTGAAGATGAGTGCAGCGAGGGGCAGAAAGATGAGTGCAGCGAGGGGCATGAAGATGAAGACATAACTGCTAGACGGCATATGTGAGATCAGGTCGGGTGAATGTGAGATACTGCAATGCACCGACGATGGACCTGTATAAGGTGGGATCGAAAACTGGTGTTCCGGAGGAGGCCCCTAACTTCGCCTTGGTATCCACCGGGGTAGAGATAGGTTTGCAGTTCAGCATGTCTGCCCGCTCCAAGATCTCCTGACTA